AAGATTTAGAGACCAAGCCTGCACATGCATATCAGTTCCAGCCATATTCCAATAGCCACAGTCTTTGGCCCCTGGCTGACTGCGAGGGGATTGGGAAATATCACAATGCTCAGGAAGAAGAAGGAAAACACATTTACTGGTGTGCGTTACTATTCTTTGACACTGTTAATAAAGCTAAATTAAAATTATACGAGGTCACTGTTTTGGACTAAGTTTTAGTCCTTCTAGTGATTCCAACAGATCAGACAAAGAATCAAAATGGAGTTATTCACACTAAAGTTCTGTGTAACCAAAATCAAAAATTTTATCTGATCGCCTAAGAAATCGAGAGAGAATAAATGAATATAGCCAAATTCCTCAAGCAGCCCAGTTTCAGTGGGTGTGATAGTAAAGTTCCCTCTGTGTTAACCCGTATAATCAAAATGCACTAATTTGAAGTAACCTGATGTTAACAAATCAGTCATTTTTCTGTAGTTGTTTCTCTGTTCCTATAAGGAAAGTAACTTCAAAATGACCAATCTGTTTCTGTTCTTTGTTTTTGCTTTGTTCAGTTTGTTTCTGTCTAAAACCAACCACCACAGCTTAGCTCATTCTAACATTCTGTTTTATGGACCGAAGTGCTGCCTGATTCTAGAATCACAAATAAAGCCAATTAAGATTTTGAAATAAATTGTTTTACTTTTGTCTTTTGACAATACCCTGCTCATCAAATATCAAATATTTGTCCCCTTATTACCACACTATACTTATGCTGTTCCAGAGACACCCTATTTAGTCCTGCATCCAGGATCTGTTGTTGATATACAGTCCTCTCTATCAGGTACAGATATGTTGCCTCATGGTCAGGTAACCTGTATACTATGTAACCTATATACTGTGCTTTCACCTATTTACCCTGTTAAGAGGTACAGCATATCTGTAGTGATTTTGAAGTGCCTCTTGACAGAGACTATGAAGGCTCTTGTTGATGGGGATAGGAGAAATTCTATTTTTAGATTCTAATTCTGCTCTTTGGGGAGAAATATTTACAGGCTAGGCAAATATACTATTGTATATCACAGCTTTGTCCACTAATTTTAGTATCCATAAATGATTCTTGGCTGAATAACTATATTTTTCCCTAACGGTGATTTTGTGTTTTTATCATCATTTTTATATTTATCAAACAGAATCTTTCCATGAGGAAGAATGGTCATTTCTCCCATTTGTTTATTCATTTAATTGTTCATTAATATCATCATGGGCTGAAGGATATTTGTTCTATTCTATGGGTTTATAATCCAATATTGTAACTATTTTGATACTCAAATGATGCCATCTTTGGCCTTTAGCAAGTCCTAGAGGTTGGCTCCACTGTTCTTTTGATAAATATGCATGCCCTTATAAGCAATCCCTTATTTTCTGGTTCCTTAAGATGTTTCAGGTTCATCCTGTGTTTGTCCCATCAGAGCCCTGTAATTAACCTTTATTCTAGGGAGCTTTGGGACCTTTTATTGGAGAATAATATTTAGGAACTAAGATTGGGGCACTAGGTGTACTCAGTGATATTAGGATATGTTCATACTGATATCACTGATTCCAATTCAACATCACAGAGTTAACTCACTACTCCCTTCTTTCATTATTTGTGATTCCTTTTTCCAACATCTGACTGTAGACAAGAGAAAAGAAGAATCAGAGTATATATCAATTCTATCTGCAGTCTACTTACCAGAACCCAGCCATATGCCTCCCCAGTAGGGACAGAGGCTTTGGGTAATATGAGAGGAATATGGCCTAGTGTTGGGTTCTGGAAGAAGAAGAGAAACATGGAAATTTATGAGCACCAGCATTCTTTGCTATACCAAGGATGTCACACAAATATTTTCTATGTGTACGATGAGGTGAAAAAGTTTGCAAAATACTAATCTAGAGAATCTAAAAATGACTTGTTCAAATAAAAAGCAATTAGATTTTTCCCAATTAAATTATGTTTGTAGCTGACGCACCTGGCCGGCCTTCTTTGCAGGTCTTAGGTCCCTGCTACCCCAGGTGCCACCTATGGGGAACCAGCCTACTCCTCTGAGCTTTCTCCACCCAGGCACCACTTGTGGGGGACCTAGTTCCAATACTTTGTTGTCCCTTACCTGGGGGTGAGTGAGGATGAGTCAGTTTAACCTGTGGGCAGCCAGGGGGCTCTTGACTCTAGTAGGCCGAAGAGCCCTAATGTCTCTCATTTTATCTTTATTCACTCAAGCACAGGTACAAGCAATCAAAGTAACACAAGATTCATCTGCTTTCCAATATCCATTACTACATGCTCAGGTACTTAATCTCAGCTGTCTTAACTTTTCCCTAGAACTTGCAATATGCCATCACCCCTGAGTGCAGTCTCACTCCTTTGTGCTCACAGAGGAGGCCAATTAGGCCTCAATTCTCTTCTAGTCTACCTTAGTGTTGTTCAATTAGGGCTGAATACAATTTATTATTTTTATTATTATGTGGAAGTATTTGTGATATGTAAACAATCAACTCAGTAGGAAAACACCTAGACTTAACTGATTTAAGAGTAGATTTAAGGTTTCAATTTAGAACATATTTTTTCACCTCAATCTCTAAGACAAGTAAAAGTTTGAGTGTTTATGCATGTTTCTTGGGTGGGGTGGTTTTCTAGTTCTCCAATTATTATTTGTAACTGTGCAACATTCTGTTAAGCACTATCAGAAAGTGACTAATATAGTCAGGATTGCAACAAACTCTAACTGAGGTGTTTTGCTAATTCAAATTCTTTTTAGATACATAGGGGTTACGTGGTATTTTCTTGTTCTCTCTGGCTTAATTTTTCGTATTTCTTATAAAGTCTGTAACATATCTTCTGGAAATTAGAATAATCTACCTGTATTAGTCACTTTTCCATCCCTGGGACAAAATACTCAACAAGGTGAACCTAAAAAGAGGTTTATTTTGGTTCATAGTATTAGTGGGTTCAGTCCATGGTTGGGTGGCTACAAGAGTGACATAGCATGGTGGAAGGGCATGGTGGAAGAAAACTTCTCAATTCATGGCAGCCAGGAAACAGAGAGAAAGGAAGATGGTAGGAGACAGGGACAAGTATTCACCTTTATGGGTCAAACTCCTAGTGACCTCCTCTTCTGACCGGGCCCCACCTCTGAACATAAGGCTTTTGCTGGACATTTTTGATCTAAAGTATAACACTACTGTCTTAGTTACTTTTCTCTTTGCTGAGACAAAATACCCAACACCCAAAGTTAAAGGAGGAAAAGTTTATTTAGCTCAAAGTTTGTAGAGGTTTCAGTTCATAATAGGTTGGTTCCAAGGCAGGGTAACATTGCAATCAGGCATTGCAGAGGAGAAACAGTTCATGGTGGACAGAAGGTAGTAAAGTAACAAGGGACTACTGCAGCTCTTTCTATCCCTTAGATCTTATCCAGGATACTTAGAGTGGGTAGCACTCACACCCTTAATCCTAGTGCCCTTGACCCTAGCATTGCACCATGAATTAATCCCAGCATCACACACCCTAGATTCAGCCATCTCTGAAAAAGTCCTATCTATGACTGCATGAGGCTTTGGGGGGACATTTAGACACAAGCCATAACTACCGTGTTTTAGCCAGAGCCAGAATATAGGACATATCTTTGCTTGTGCAGAACTTGGTCTAGTAGTTAGAGGTATTAGGAGCTCAAAGGTCACAGTGAATGTTTTCTGATGGCAAAGATTATCACTACTAATTCTAGGTTCTAAAGCACTTGCTGAGAGTGGATGAAACAGCAACAAAAATAACCATTGTGCCTGCTTTTTTTTGGTACCAGAGACTGAACCCAGCACCTTACACTTTCAAGGCAGGTAGCAGAACCACTGAGCTAAATCCCCGGCTCCCTCATCATTCCTGCTTTTAAGGAACTTATATCCTAGTCAGAAGAGCAAATAATAAAATAATTTCAAAAAGTGGTAAATGATAGCCTACTGATGTGTGAGAGCAAGGCTAAAGAATGAAATCTTGCTGTAGATGATAAGAAACAGGCATCAATGTGAAGTTCTGAGAAGAAAATAATCATGTGTAGGAGACTACCCAAGTGCAAAATTTCTCGGATAGTAAGCAGCTTGGTGTAGTCAATGAAAAAAAACCAGTGCATCTGTGCAGTATGACAGTGAGAGTGGTGGCAGAGGTCAAATCAAAGAGGGTTCTGCAGGTCATGGTATGGGATTTAGGGTTTGTCTTAGCTGCAGCAAAGAGCAATTGGAGAGCTTTATGTCAGGTATGATTCTATCTGGCTTGTATTTTTAAAACGATCACACTTCTTTCTTTCTGGAGAATGAACATAGGAAGAATAGAATGGCAGCAATTAGGGTGGTTGGAAATAGATTTATATTAGTAGGAGTGTATGGAAGCCAGTGGGAGTTCTCTAACTCCCTCCATACTAAAGATTCCCACCTACATATTCCATTATATTAAACAGTAAACTATTATATTACAACTGTCACTTAATCACTGAGTTATGTTTGGTCTGTCCATCTTCATTTAGGGTTGCCAGATAAAATATAGATTCTCAGTTAAATCTGAATTTGCTAAATAATAAATTTTTATCGTGTTCCTAAAGATTGCATAGGAAAGACGTATACTAAAAATTATTCGTTGTTTATGTGAAATCCAACTTGGTCATCTTGTGTTTTTATCTGCTCTATCTGGCAATATACTAGGAATATAAACCACAGGAGGGCGGGAACCTTTGTTAGGTCCCTAGTGCATATCGAATGTGTAGCACAGTGTCGGGCACATAGTAGGAGCCCATTCTGAAGGAATAAGTGCACTATTAAACGAACTAGTAAGTAACGGAATGAAAGGATGAACCTCACCGGGAAGTAGGAGAGAGCGGGAGCATCTGCAAGGAGGTAGCCCCTGCTGGGAGCCCAGGCAGCGATTAGTGCCTACGCAGACGCACTGAGGTAACGTGCTCGGCGGCCCGGTGACGTCATCACGCTGGCGCTCCCGGACTCCAGTGGCGCAGGCGCCTCTGCCGCTGTGGGCTGTGCTCGTGAGTGGGGGCGTCCCGGCAACCCCGGCACGGTACCTCCCGCCTGCGGAGCGGTACAGTCTCGCCCCTGATCCTCAAGTCCCTGTCACTGGCTGTCCCAAGCAGGCTGGCTGCCTCTGCGCTGGGAGAACATCGCCTCAGGGCCATGTCCAGGCCCAGCAGCGTCTCCCCGCGGCCGCCTGCTCCGGGCGGTGGCGGCGACGGCGGCGTAGGAGGCGGCCTCGCTGCCTGTGGCTCTGGGGGTGGCCGCCGGGCCAAGGGTCTGAAGGACATTCGTATCGACGAGGAGGTGAAGATCGCAGTCAACATCGCCCTGGAGCGCTTCCGGTACGGGGACCAGCGAGGTGAGGTTTCCGACGGTCCCCCACGGCCGTCGCCCCTCGCGCCCCCAGCCCCGCCGCGGCAGGGGAGCCCGGTCCTGGGCGAGGTTGGCCCTCGGGTGGCATGTGAAGGTCCGAAAGGTTCTTGGGGAGGGGGTCCGCGAGGTTCGGGGCATCTGTCTGGCAGCAGGGGTAAAGGTCACTTTGGTCCAAGCGGGACCTTTTCTTACCCAGGTTTTTCAGCAGCTTTGGTCGGCTAAGCCAGTTGGGTCAGCCGCTATAGGTGTTGCCTTAAATAGGATGCATTTAAGCTACAAACGTAAAAAAAGTGGAAGAAATCAGATATATAAGCGTAATAACAACATTTGGTGGTTTGTTTAAATCTTAGAAGCAGCACGCCAAACCCTTAGACAAATTATATTGTCTTGGCTTACAAAGCTTGTTCAGCCCCTTTATAGTTAGAAAGCTACTTGTCTTGGGTCACATAATACAAGAGCAGCTGCTGACCTGTGGCGTCTCCACAGTTTATTAAATGCCTATTTCAGTTTCTTGGTTTAAATTAAGAGAACCCTCACTGTGGAAGCTCTAGTCCAAACTCGGTCATGACCTGGACAGGGTGATTTTAAACAGAGGTAAAGCCTCAGCAATATGAAAAAGCAAATCCAGCTAGAAGTAGTGAAATACAAATTCATAGGGTTTTGAAAGCATAGACAATGGAGTTTCATGTTGGAAATTCGTAATGCTTGAGCAGACTTCATTACAGAAGGAAATAAGCTTTTTGTTAATTTTTTGTTTTGAGACAGGTTCTTGCTACGTAGTTCAGGCTGGCCTTGAACTCACAGCAATCCTCCTGCCTCAGCTTCCCAAGTGCTGGGATTATAGGCATGCACCATCACGCCTGGCCAGCCTTTTATTAATTAAGCAATTAAGGACTGAGTTAAAATAGTAATAAATATGCTCATCAGTAATTAGACTAACTCAGGATTCCAGCACAAATAAATAACAAGAGTAATCTTTGGTGAATGTCAGAGTTCTTTATCATGTGTAGATTTAATACATTTAAAAAATTAATATCAGAATTCTGGTATATATTCAGTTATTGAATGAATGTTTCCTTTTTTTTTTTTTTTTTCCCAGTACCAGGGATCAAACTCAGGACCTTGCGCTTGTGAGGCACTCGAAGTGCCACTGATCTAAATCCTGGCCCATGAATATTTACTTTTCACATAAAATAGAACAGATTTGATTATATGCTTGTATGCATGTTTTTCAGATTGTTTATATGTATATTGCTTGAAAGAAAATTGCTTATCCACAAATAATACTACAGTATTTTGTTTTTTTCTATGCAGAAATGGAATTTCCTTCTTCTTTGACCAGTACTGAAAGAGCTTTTATTCATCGATTGAGTCAGTCTCTTGGTTTGGTCTCTAAAAGTAAAGGGTGAGCTGATAGCTTTTCTTACTTTAAAAAGAGATTATTTACCGAAAAGTATAAATGTGTCTTCCAATATTTAAATAGTTATTACAGTTTTAGTTTCACATTCTTAATTATATTGTATATAGATAAAATCATTCAGGTCTGTACCAAGTTCAGATTTTTCTTTTTTCCTCCAGTCATACCCCAAGGGCAAAACCCCGCCAAAACTGTGAATACCAGTACCAATCTTAGGTTCATTGCCATTAGATTGATAGAAGATTAACAAGAGAAAAACAAGTTTATTAAAATGTTGATCACACATAGGCAAGGCAGAATTCAGGGTTGAGTAACTCCAACTTGGGGCTTCTATAGCATCTTAATAAAGAAGAGTAACTATTAAAAAGTGATAGAGCCTGGCGAGGTGGCACACACCTGTAATCCCACCGCTAAGGAGACTGAGGCAGGAGGATTCCTGCCTGTCTCAGTACTACCCTGGCCCCATCTTTTTTTCAAGACAAGAACTCAGTTTGTAGATCAGGCTGGCCTTAAACTCACTATGTAGCCAGGCTGACCTCGAACTCACAGTGATCCTCCTGGCTCAGCCTCCTAAGTGCTGGGATTATAGGAGTGCACCACTGTGCCTGGCTTTAAAAAAAAAAAAATATAATGAGTAGAAATGATTAAAACGGAACAAGAAAAAATTGTGTGTGCTTTTTTTTTTTTTTTAAGTTTTTGGTCTTAGAGGGAAAGTCATTTAAGCCATCCAAATTGAAGAACTCCAAAATTCTGTGGAACTACACTTGTGTGGTGCATAATGATGTTTTGGTCAGTGACAGACTGTATTGGTGGTCCCATAAGACTGCATTGCCTAGTGATGATGTGGCCTTAATTTGTGTAAATGCAATGAATGAAATTGCCTAAAGATACATTTGTTGTAGTGACAGATGGCTGTATTTCATATTGGGAATAACAATAGTGGTATCTGTATAGAGCAAGATTTCTTAGTATTGGTGCTGTTGACATATTTGGTGTTATAATTCATTCATTTATTATTTTGCATTCAGGCTAAACGGCAGTGTACCTAGCCTTTACCCCCTAGATTCCATTAACAGTCCCAAACCTAGTTGTAACAGCGAAAAATACCTCTAAACATTGCTAAATGATCCCTGCAGAGCAAAATTGCCCCAGATTGAGACCCACTGATACTAAGGGAAAAAAATGATAAAATTGCAGCTTACCTGTTTTTAGATTGAAAAGAGGGAAAGCAACACCTTATTAAAATATTAATAAAAACTTGGTCCTAACATGAAAGTAGCTGATGTAGAAATGTCTTGCATATATTTTTTTCTAAACTTGCAGCAATCCATTTTCCTGATTAAACTGGCATGAGGTTATTAAGTCTTTACCTTGGTGTAAATATTTATACATTCTCTAGTAGAAATACCATTGTGACTAAAAATGATGTCTGTGCCTTCTTAGGAGCACTATATAACATATTGCAAATGCACCCTAATACCTACCTAGATTCTGAAAGATCTGAATCTCAAAACATGTTTGGCCCCTGTATTTTTGGATAAATCCTCCATCTGTTTTCACTTCCAAGTACAGCAATTTACCTATCTAGTGGATTATGTACAAGTAATATGTGCAGGCTCAGGAACCTGACCACTATTGTAGCACTGACCTTAAAGTTGAAAATGGACACTGACCTAAACTAAAAGTCCCCTCAGGCAGTAAAGTAGCTATTAATGAATTGTGCTGGTATAAACATGGGTATGCATTTATCGCTGTAATATGATGTCTTCAACTCTTTTGGGAAGATACCTAAAATGGGAATAGCTAGTTTAAATGGAATTGATTGTTTTAGTTTTTTGAGGAATCTCCATACTTATTTACATATAGATTGTACTAGTTAACATTCCCACCAACAAGAAAGGTTCCTTTTCTCCTGTTTATTGGTCAGCATTTGTTTTCTGATTTCTTGATGATAGCCAATCTTTCTGGAGTAAGATGAAATCTCAGTGTTGTTTTAATTTGCATTTCCCTAATGACCAGAGATGTTGGAACATTTTTTCATGTATTTATTGGCCATTTGTATTTCTTCTTCTGAGAAGTGTTATTCATTTCTGGTGCCCATTTTTTTGATTGGGTCTTCTGTTTTGGAGGTTCTCAATTTTTTTAGTTGTTTATATATTCTAGGTGTTAGTCCTGTGTGTGAAGAATAGCTTGCAAATTTTTTTCCCATTCTGTGGGTTGTCACTTCACTCTTTCGCGTGTTTCCTTTGCTATGCAGAAGCTTTTAATTTGATATGATCTCATTTGTCGATTCTTGGTGTTATCTCTTGTACAATTGAGGTTCTATTTAGAAAGCCCTTGCCTATGCTTATATCTTCAAAAATTTTACCCATTTTATTTTCTAAAAAATTATGTTTCAGTTTTAATATTTACATCTTTGATCTATTTTGATTTTAGTTTAGTACATGGTGAGAGATATGGGTCTAGATTCAGTCTTCTGCACATGGATAGCCAGTTTCCCAGCATCATTTGTTAAAGAGGCTATCCTTCCTCCAGCATAAGTTTTTGGTCCCATTGTCAAAGTCAGGCAGCTGAATGTGCTTGGAGTTGTTTCTCCATCCTCTCTTTTGTTCCATTTATCCACGTCTTTTTTCAACACCATGCTGCTTTTATCACTTTAGGTATATAGCATAATTTAAAGTCTAGAATTGTGATGCCTTTTGCTTTGCTTTTTTTTACCCAAGATTTCTTTTGCTCTTCTATCATAGGTCTCTTCTGGTTCCATACAAATTTTCTTCCATACAAATTTTAGAATTGTTTCCTTTAGTTCTGTGAGGAGTGCTATTGGGAGTGAACTAAATCTGTATAACACTTTTGGAAGTATGACCATTTTGACTATATTGGTTTTGCCTGTCCAGGAGTGGGGATATCCATTTTGTGATGTCTTCTTCTTCGAATTCCTATTTCAGAGTACTGTAGTTTTTGTTGTAGAGGTCTTTCACACCCTTGGTTAGGATAATTAGTAGGTATTTAATTTTTTGTTCTTTTCGTTTTTTTTTTTTTCCTGGTACCGGGGATCAAACTCAGGACCTTGCGCTTGCAAGGCAGGTGCGGTGCCACTCAGCTAAATCCCCAACCCCCGAGTACATGTTTCTTATCCTGAGACTGCTAAAGTCACTACTTCGTTAGTACTGAAGTATTCTTCTAACCTCTTTCCAGAAGGCTATGCGGCACAACAGAGACCCTGTTTTCATATTTAGGTTATTGCCTCCCTTACCTCCTGCTTGAAAGGTTTCATGCCTCCCCATTTCTCCCTAGCTAAAATAGGAAAAATGGATTTAATGAACTCATTAAAGTTTTAGACATCCATTGAAAAAGAAATCCTGCTGTGTCCAATGATAATAACAGCAGCCAGCATTTAAGTACTATTATGCAACAGGCATTGAGCTAGATGTATAAACAATTAACATTAAAACTTCACAACAGTTTTGTAAGATGGGTTCTGTTAATAACATCTGATACCTGTATAGCAGAGGAGGTAGTTAAAGCCTAGAGAAGTTAATTTTTCTAAGATCACACAACAAGTGTCAGTCAGGATTTGAACACTGTTAATGTTTAGCTAATTATTTTTATATTTTACTGCAAGTTTATAGTAGTGTACTAGGTCCTGTGAGGACCTAAAATAAAAATACTAGATAAATCTTATCTTCAAGTTACTTATGACCCATTAAGACCATCGTATTTGCCACATAGTGTGGTACCACACGAAAGCAGCTGTGTACCTTTTAGTGACAAAATAGTTAGTTGGTTTATTAGTTTCTATGTAGTTATAAAAAAGTATAAATTAGAATGATGCAAACTCTAGTAGTAAATTGTAATTCTATGTTACAATATTGAACATGATCCAGAGCTAGATTTTTGCATTTATTTGCCTAATGGAAATACAAGTGGAGATACAAAATTAAGTATTTCGCTTTTTAGAGACAGTAACTCCTTAATGACTGTCAGCTTTAAGTAGTCATTTTCTTTGAGTCATTTTGACTTTTTACCCGATCTTTTATTCTCAGACTTGGAAGAAGAACATATTAAGGCATATGATTATTGAGTTAAACATTCAGTAACATGCTCATTAATTGACAAATTAATATTAAAGTTGTATGAAATTTGATTATATTATCAGTTTTCCTTTTTGGGGATGGGGGAGTAGAGTTCTAGGGACTGAATCCAGGACCTTGCACATACTAAGCCTGGGCTTTACAAGTGAACTACATCCCCAACCCCATTTTTTTTTTGAAATTACTGAAATGCTAAAACTTCACTGTAGCATGCATCGGTTGCTTTTACCCAAAGAAAGTTAGAAGTTTTCATACTCTTGTCTGTAATTTTATTTCCTTTACTTTCAGTTAATTTTTTAAATTAACAATAATTGTGTTTACTTATAGGGTACAGTGTGATGTTTTGGTATATACGTATGTTGTGAAAATCAAGGTGATTAGTGCATCCATCACCTCAAATATTTATCCATTTCTTTTTGGTGAGAACATTTAAAATCCTGTCTTTCAGCTATTTTGAAACATGCAATACCTTATTGTTAACTGTAATCACCCTACTGTGCAGTAGAACACCAGAATGTATTCCTTTGCTAACTATAACTTTGTACCTGTTGACTGAAGTCCTTGCAACATTTACTTTTATGCTTAAAAATTACATATAGGGATTGCATTTTATTACGTAAAAATTTTTGTGCAGTGTACTTATCTAGTATGTTTCTAGCTAGTTTCTAGTTAATTATGCTTTGGAAAGGAAGTCTTTATGCTTTTTACTAAAGGATAGTGTCAAGACACCTTAGAATGATATCATATATCATTGACACTATAGTGCTGAATGTAGTAGGAACAAGCACTAGTAGTAGCCTGAGGTTGAATCTTTTACTAAAACAAACTGTCAGGTTGATGCTGTCTTTCTGCTCTATCAGCTGTGCTAAAGCTGAAGTCAGTACATTTTAAATGGTAATCACTATGTACTTAAATTTGCTTAATATGAGTTTTTTAATGCACATATACTATATTAGGCGACTTGGGTTAGGAAAGCTTCAATTTGATCCATTATTTTGTTCATGGGCTTGTTGAGGAAGGAGTGTATTTTAGTTTGTAATCCTAGCTTCTTCCATAGTGTCTGACAGATAGGTACTCAGATAATATATGGTAAATAATTGAATGAATGAATAAAAGAAAATTAGTTAAAGGTGAAATATAGCAAAACCTTCCCAAGATGATTTTTTTTTAAAAAAATTAATTTTATTGGTACATTTTAGGTATACAATATAATGACATTCATCATTGGAAATTTGCACCTTTATATAATCTCTTTGGGTTCTTATTTTTCCTCCTTTCCCTACCCTTCCTTTAACCTCTCCATTCCTCCGTATTTACAAAGACTTTGTGCCCGTTTTTTCATTTTCTCATATTAATTCCATTCCCTTCTCCAAAGATGATTTTTAAGAAAATCTGGAGTTGCTAGGTTAATCAGAGACTTTTATTAGCCAATGTACATTGTTAGAGAAGTAAAATCATTTAATTTTGGTCATACAGTTAGTTGAAAGAGTATTACTAGATGGACACTAGCCTGGTTTTTGATCTGGTAGTCATTTCAGCATATCTTCTGTATTTAAACTTTTGTGAACTTCACAGAGAATGATGAATCTGTAGCAGTTATGGTGAAGTTTGAGAACGGTTCATAGGAAAAGAACCTACTACAGAGAATATCTCTAGAATTCAATAATTTTGATTTATCATGGAAATAACTTCAGATCAGGTTAAGTTTTAACTTTTTAATTTCATAATTTAAAGCATCGCTGAGCATTTAAAGTTGATGATACATGCAAACCTTCTAATTCATTAAAGAAATTTATAGAGGAATTTCTGGAAATTAAAAATCTTGGTAAAATGCAAGTCTCACTTAAAAGACTTATGTAGATAGAATTATATAGGTTAATTTCCAGTTCAGTACTATTCTTACAGTGAAGATATTGTTGATATATTTCAATCTAATGAAAATCAGGAAAATTATAAAATTTTACATTTAATTTTCATTATATTTGTGACTTTGTTGCTCATTTTTATACCTTGTATGATGACAATATTAACAAATTGTAAAACATTTTATGAAATAGTTGGATACTTTTTTTGAGTTTAAGAAATGATATTTTTCCTGATTATAATTATAATAGCTTTCACTTATTTGGGGCTTATTCTGTTAGAGATGCAATACTTTACATGATGCCATCTTAAACATATGAATAGCCCTTTGAAATATGTATTCTTTTTATCTTAGGTTCAGGGCCATTAAATAATTTGCTTATAGTCACAAGCCAGTAACTAGTAGAATTGGGATTCAAATTCTGGTCTGTGTGCCTTCACAGCTTGAGCTGTTAACCAGTACTATATTGCTAGATTAGAGATATGTGTTATTAATCAAAACATTTGGAGGCTTGCTGTGTAACATTTTACCTAGTATTCTTGGAGCTGCAGAAGTCATAAAAGATACAGTCAGGTCTATAATAGTTGAAACAAATAAATACTTGAATAGTTTAGGTCATCATTACCTTATAACTGAAGAGCAGACCCTGAAGCTTTGAAAAATTTCTTTGATTAAAAAAAAATGTACCTTAAATGGTTGTCAGTAATGGAGATTAATGTATTTTTTGGTTCAGCCACTAAAACTGGCTGTATTAATAGGCTTTCATGGGAATGTGACATTAACCAATATACTATGGGAGCAATTAGTGGAACATACTAATCTGAAGAGTCAACCATTTTTTCATTATTATTTTTTGTTTCTGGTTCAGAGTCCCCCCAGTGCTTCCCAGCATGTATTAATTAATTGGTAATGTTTATCTACCATGAAGTTTGCTAAAGACAAACTTTGAATGGTTCTGGGTAAGTAAGCCTTTTTTGCTTATTTAAAATTGGATTTGCAGCATTTTGAAATTTTAATTAAAAAGTCTTGAGGACACTTGAGCCCAAAATCTTTCTTTACTGATTTTTATGGGACTTTTAGTGTTTTATCTTGAAGCATTTTGATTTTTTTCAGTGTTTTGCTTGAGACATTTTCTAAGTAGGCATACATCATATGTAAAAAAATTGACTGTAGTAAATAAATGATTTTTATTAATATTCAGAAAGGGAGCAAATAGATACCTAACTGTGAAGAAGAAAGATGGATCAGAAACAGCTCATGCAATGATGACCTGTAATTTGACTCATAATACAACACATGCTGTTAGGAGCCTAATTCAGAGATTTCCTGTCACCAATAAAGAGCGTACCGAACTTCTGCCTAAAACAGAAAGAGGAAATGTGTTTGCAGTTGAAGCTGGTATGTATTTTCTGGGGAGCTTCCTTGTTTATTTGTTTATCCTATATTTGATGATTTTTCTTTTTCTGTTTAGATTTGTTTTAAAAGACTAATATGAAATGAAGTAAGTTTCTCAGGTTGAATAGTTTGTCAGAAATGACTAAGAGTTATGAAAACTTTTGGAACAAAATGCAATATTAAGGCATGTCATGGAGTTGGACCAACTTTTTTTTAAGTGTTATAGTGATAGTTACTGTGTACAATGTACTTACTGTGCTAGGCAGTATACTAATCTTTTTTTTTTTTGAGGGGGTACTGAGGATTGAACTCAGGACCTTGCACTTGCAAGGCAGGTGCCATGCCCGTGAGCTAAATCTCTGGCCCTAGTTTACTAATCTTTGTGTAAGGCCTTACAGCAAACTTTGCTAGATAAGAATTTTCCCTGTTTCACTGATGAGGAAACTAAAACTCATAGGAGTTAACTAATTTGTTCAAAGTTACTCAACCAGCCAGTAAACTGCAGAGCTGGGAGTTTACTCCAAAGTCTGGACCTTCCTTATATTGCACTTCCATTATGCGCTAATGAGTAGGATTTTGAATTGGACCTTTAGCTTCTGCTGAGGAATAGGGCAGAAACTTCAATATGTTAAATTGCTCAAGAGTAAATAAATGATACATTTAGTGTATGAAGTGAAATTGTCATTTTATTATTTGGAAAAATAACTTCAATGTTAGAAAAAAGTTTTTTTTATTGCCTCTAGTGACAATTTTGGTAATTATTGCCTGTTGGGGCAGGTCTACACCATGTAGAAAGTAGATGGTCTTAAGATATCAAAGAACTTGTTTACAGGCACACTTTTTGAACTATCTGGAGAATGTAAAACATACCATCCTTTGTTTTTTTTTTTGGTACCAGGGATTGAACTTGGGACCTTGCCCTTGCGAGGCAGGTGACGGAACCACTGAGCTAAATCCCCAGCCCCAAAACATACCATCCTTATCTACCTGCTTAGATAAATGTGAATGTTGTTTAAAAAATGTTCAATTAGGATATTTGTTGTTTTAGGACCTAATGCTTAGATGATACACATATTATTCTATTTGATCACTTGATCTTAACGTGTATAACTTTAAACATGTATTTTCCTTTTTTGCCAGTGTTTTCATATTCTATGTAACAGTTCTTATACATTATTTTGTAAAATTTTAATTTTCTATGACATTACTGAAACACCGAACAAACCTGAATATAATTAGACTATAAAAATTATTTTGCTTTTTAACAGCTATTGATGGATTAATTTTTACTCCTTTTTATACATATATGCATCAGAAGTGCTTTTGAGAGGTTTGCTTTGTAATTGATACTGACATTTCTAACATTCTATAAGATTAGTTAAGTGTAGAACAACAGTTAAGGTATTGCTTGCTAACTTTATGTGGACTGAGCTGAAAAGAAACACTTGAAAGGAATTACATACAAATTACTATGCTTATCTTTTAACACTTCTTTTCAGTGTTGATCATAGTTTTTTTTTATTTTTTCATTCTCAAAGAAAATCGAGAAATGAGCAAGACAAGTGGACGACTCAGCAATGGCATACCTCAAATTCCAGTGAAAAGAGGAGAATCTGAATTTGATTCATTCAGGCAGTCTTTGCCAGTGTTTGAGAAACAAGAAGAAATTGTTAAAATAATTAAGGAAAATAAAGTAGTTTTGATTGTAGGAGAAACTGGATCTGGAAAGACCACACAGGTTTGTTTTTCCTTTGTTGTTTAAAGAAGAAAATAAAAATTATCCTATGTTATAGTTTTATATCATTTATACTACATCTATTTAAAACAGAAAAATAAACTTCTAGTTATTCGAATGATTATTTCAGAAGTAAACTAGTGGCAGGAGTACATTTTGAGAACCAGTAGAAAAGAAATGCTTTAAATTATTAGTTACCTTTAAACTAATAAATTTGTTCCTTAATAAAACAGAGGTGAGGATGGGGTATGGTATCATGGAAGGAATGTAGATTTAGCCTTGGGTTGAAATTCCAGTTTTTCGCTGTATTTGATGTGAAGTTTTAGGCTAGTTTTCTAACATATATGAGCAGGAGTCTTCATTTATAAAATGGGACTAATAATTGCTAGGGTGAAGCTTAGAGACAGTTTTGATAGTGCACTCTACATAGTGTTGTACATGTAGGAGCTAAAGTAAAAGCCACATAACAAATAGTAATACAAAGTTGACTGAAGAATGGAATTAATGTGATAGGTTTGACATGGGTATTTAAAATCAAAAGTACCTTATTGGAAGTCCCACTCTATAAGAGGTTAGAAATAAGTATGGCACAGTATGGCCTTTTTAATATTCTTTAACTTCCAGCATTTTAACATCAGTATTAAAATTAATTTGCTTTTAGTACACACTCAGATAAAATAATATATTTGCAAATTTTCCTCTATGGAAAAAATGTGTTTTTGACAATTGCTTAAAATTTCTTATGATTATATTGGTTACTTTCATGAACTTTGCCACTAGGTAAGGTGGTAGTAGAATGTCTTAGTCCATTTTCTGTTGCTTTTACTGAATACTACAGACTGGGTCATTTATAAAGAATAGAAGTTTCTTTAGTAGAGTCTGGAAGGTCCAAGAGCATGACACTGACATCTGGTGAGGGTCTTCTGTGTTATGATATGGTAGAGATCACTTGGTGAGACAGAGCAAATGTGTTTGTGTAGATCTCTCTTCATCTAAAGCCACTAAGGTCATTGTAGGAGCCCTACCCCTTATGACCTTACTCAGTCCTGTTTATCTCTAAAAGTCTCCATCTCCAAACACATCAACAAGATAATTTGTTAATTAATTTTTCTACTCAGAAACTTTTGGGGGTCATATTCAAAACATAGAGAATTTGACTGAATTAGCCATTTTCACAGAAGAATAACTATCATTAAAACTTGAGCCTATAAAACTAAATAATTAAAAATGTGATGATATTTTTAACTGAAGACTATATAGATTTTTTTCTTAAGCATGAGTCTTGGTATGATTAAGTGAAATATGGAGTTTCTTTAAAAGTCATTTGAATGTCTTAGATTATTACCAGTGTTTTAGAGTAAATTTTACCATTAAGTATTGCAGCAGTTTTAATTACTGTGTTGAATGGGGATTAAATATGAAAGTTTTAATTAAAATATTTTTATTTTACTAATATTATAATTAAAATAATTATTTGCAATACTAGGAACTTAATCCAAGGCCTCAAGCATGCTAGGCAAATGTTCGACGACTGAGCTACATTTCCAGCTCTTTTTATTTTATTTTGAGACAGAGTCTTTTTAAGTTGCCTAGGCTGGCCTTGAATTAGCAGTCCTCCTGCCTTGGCCTTCCAGGTAGCTAGGATTACAGGCATGTGCTTCCATGTCCAATTTAAATTATGTCTTCTGTAATGATGCTAGTCTATTGGAATTATGGAATTTTTTTACAGTTATAGTGTTATTTTATTAGGCGTGAAAAGAAATTTTAGAATTTCATTAGTAAATATTATATGCTTTATTTTTCAAGAAGAAACTATTAATCTAATGGGCATACATATAAGAAGTACTCTTGTTGGGAGTCAGGGATTTAGCTCAGTGGTACCACGCCTGCCTGGCAAGCACAAGGTCCTGAGTTTGAACCCTGGTACCAAAAAAACCCACCTCCCGAAAGAAATAATCTTGTTGAAAGAGTTGAAGTAAAATTACCAATGTTTCTACTATCTGAAATGTAAAATAAAATAAAGTAGTATCTTTGGCCAAATTCATCTTGTCTTTGATGGTATTAAGTTAAATGCTTTTTGAATTTTTCTCCTTTATCCATGTTTATTATGTAAAACTTAAGCATTACACAGAAAGTGAAAGTGTGTTACTCTTTTTCTACCCTCTCTGAATTATATTCAGAAATTTGGAGTATGTTTCTGATTTGGAGGGGGGTGTTTGTGTTTTTTATTTTTGTTATCTTCACAGCATTGATATAGATAAGTCATTTAAAGCAAGTATTTCTTTATAATACTGGTACATATTTTTTAAAAACAAATGTGGAGTAATGACATATATACATTTTTATCTTCTTTCACTTCACAGAAATTGTATTTTTTTTATGTCAGTACCTAGAGATATACCTCATTAAAAAAAAACTACATAGTATTCCTGAATATTTTTATAGTAATAAATATTTACTGTGTGCTGAATTCTTACAACAGTTGTCTCATTTTAGCCTCTCAGTAACCTTAAACTGTGTAGATTTTATTACCTCTTTTTACAGATGGTTTACATAACTAGGGATTGGTAGAGCAGGAATTTTATTTTTATACTGTACTTACTGTTTTGTATTGAAGCCTAATATTTCTTTGCTTATTTCTGGGAGTTTTAGTAGGATTCATCTAGGATAGATGAATCCTAGAAGGGTGAAACCAAATTAAGAATATTGTATTAAATTTTAATTTATATTAACTAGTTATGATAAAATAACTTTAAAAAGAGTTAATGTATTAAAATAGTATTGAAAGTATTACTCTCTAAAGCTTGGTTAAGAATGGATTTTTAATAAAATATATAAACATATTTAGTATATATTTTACCTTTGTTATTCTGATAGGCAAAAAATATTTTAAATTGCATTTCTTTGACCCCGAGAGAGTTGAGTATCTTTGTTTGCTTATTATCCATTTATCTTTTGTGAGTTTCTCATTGCTTCTCGGCCTTTTGGCTAAGATCAAGTGTATCTTTTGTGAGTTTCTTATTTATATCCTATTTTTCTTTTGGCTTATTTATTTTGAATTTCTTTTAAAAAATATATTATGTATGTTACAGATATTGGCCCATTGCCTGTTAAACATTTAAAAAATAATTTCTCCCAAGTTTTTCTTTGCTTTTTAGCTTTGCTTATGGTATTTTATTTAGTAATTGTACATTTTTATTTAGTCAAATCTGTCAACTTTTTTTTTATGAGTTGAGACCATGCTAAGGTGGGTAAAAAATATTTTCCTGTAAATACATTTACTTAAAAATTCAGCAGGAATTTATTTTATTGTATCATAACAGGTAGAAATTTTATCTTTTTCTTTATATCTATATCTATATTTATATCTTTCTTTTCAATATCTAATCTTTCAAACATAAGTTTTATTTAGTAATTTATCCTTTCCCTCTGATTTAAGATGCCATTTTTAAAATCAGGTTTTTTTTGGTACTGGGGATTGAACTTGGAACCTTGTGCTTGCAAGGCAGGCTGCAGAACCACTGAGCTAAATCCCCCGCCCAAAATATGGTAACAGAATTCTTACTCTTTTTTTTTTTTTTGGTACCAGGGATTGAAGTTGGGACCTTGCTCTTGTGAGGCAGTCGCCAGAACCACTGAGCTAAATCCCAGCCCTAAAATCAGTTTTTATAGGTCTATTTCTGGGGTTTTTATTATGTATCTCTAATCTCATTATCTATTCTTCCATCAGGCCCCTGCTTTTTACTTTTAATAGTTTACAAAATATAGTATAACATTTTTCTTTATTATCTTCTACTTTTTTGAGTACTTACCCTAGAGTTAGTTTGCAGTGGACATTTGCAGCTAATCCAGTCCACTTTGAAATGACACTATACCATGTCACAGGTTGTGTATCTTAAATAACACAGTAATCCTAATTCTTGCCTCTTGTCCCTTGTATTCTGTCATTTCTTTCACTTATATGCAGGCATACATGAATCCCCTCCCAACATAAAATATGTACATAAACCTAAATAATCAAGTACATTGTGGCTGTTATTATTTTGAACAAACTTTTGCCTGTTAGGTCAATTAAAAATAAGAAAAATAAGTTTTTTTTTTTTTGGTGCCGGGGATCAAACTCAGGTCCTTGTGCTTGCGCAGCAGGCGACGAAACCACTGAGCTAAATCCCTGGCCCTTGAAAAATAAGTTTTAATTTTACGTTCACTTAGTTTTTCTTGATGTTCTTCCTTTCTTCACGAAGATCTGAGTTCCTGGCCTGTATTATTTTTTATTTTCCTTCTCTCTAAAGAACTCTTTTTTGGGGAACGTTTCTTGATAGAGAGTTTACTGGTAACAAATAGCATCAATTTTTATTCGTCTGAGAAAGTATTAATACTTCACTTTTGAAGGATAATTTTGAAAGCTATAGAATTCTAGGTTGGTGGATCTTTTCATCATTTTATTTCACTCTGTTCTTGTTTTGCTTGCCTGGTCTAAGAAGTCTTATCTGTGTCTGAGAGGTCAGAAGTAGTTATCTTTGCACTTCCATTAGTGAGGTATTTTTTTCTCTATCTTTCAGGATGTTTTCTTCATCTTTGATTTTCTGTAGTTCTAAAATTATATACTTTTGAAGCATCTCTTGGTAGTTCTTTAACATTTATGCTTTTGGATGAACTAGTTACAAATAATCTTAGAGGCTAAGAAATATATGAAAAGAGGTTCTTTTTTTCACTCACATTTAAAGAAATGAAAATCAAAATAATTATATTTATAAACTATCTGATTGACAGAAATTTTAAAAAATGATGATAATGCTGTATTTGTCAGGGAGTTTGCAAACAGCCCTTCTACTTTGTTGATAAGGATATAAATTGTTTTGGAGGATAATTTGATAATTTTTCTGTCTAAGTTTAAAAATGTGCACACTCTGAATTTTTTTTTTTTCAGACATCTCACTATATTGTTCAGGCTGGTCTTAAACCCACTATGTAGCCCTGGCTGGCCTCACATTCATGGCAATCCTCCTATCTCAGCCTTCTGAGGGCTGGGAACACATACTCTGAACATTTTTGCTGCTAGTGATTTGTATCTTTGCAAAAGCTTCATGACAGCATTTTTAAAATAGTTACCAACAGCATTAATAACATGAAAAATTGGAGATTGCCTAAATATTATTTGTTAAATTATGGCACATACGTAAGGTGGACTATGTAGCTATTAAATGAATTAATTAGATATGACACATGAAGTGAAAACTGCTAGTTACAAATATCAAGCACAGTAGTCACTTTGAATAAAAAATGTTTTTATAAATATTCTGAATTGTGTAAATTTTCTTTTATTGGAAGTGTGCATAAGAAACTTTTAAAGTTATTATGGAGAACTGGGTGGGTAAGAGTTTTACTTTTTATTTTGAATGTTTAGGACCCTCTTTAATTTTATTTAGAAAAGTATTTGCAAAAAAAATTTTGTCATTTATTTTATAGAGTAATTTGCCTTATATAGATTTTATAGAAAATTAATTTTTTAAACTAGTGATTATTCTCCTTCAGGAATACAAAATGTTTCTTTTTATATCCAAGTCTTCTTTTATGTTTTTAAGCAGCATTTTTTAGTCTGTTTCATATATGCCTTAAATATTTCTTTATACATTTGAGTGTAAATGTTTTAGTTTTCATTGTGAACAAGCTGTTTTAAAATTACATTTTTTAGCTGATTATTGCTGTTTACATAAGAGTTTTTATTTGGGCATGTTACAAAACTTTTTTTAGTTCTAATGGTTTTTTAGTTGGTTCACTTGGGTTTTTGAGGTATACAAAATATTTGTCCCTTTATATTTTAAAACTTCTATTACAGATTCCTCAGTTCCTTTTAGATGATTGCTGTAAAAATGGTATCCCCTGCCGTATATTTTGTACTCAACCAAGACGATTAGCAGCTATTGCTGTAGCTGAAAGAGTTGCTGCAGAGAGAAAGGAAAGAATTGGTCAAACGATTGGATATCAGATTCGATTAGAAAGCAGGTAAAGACAGTCCTGGTTTTTGTTATGCTTATGAAAGATGAAATGTATATATATTTCACTAGAAATACAGGATGTGTTAGTCGAAAAGTTAAATGATTATTTTTTCCAATGTAATTCTATATTGAGATGTTAAAGTCATGTCTAAACTTAGTGAGGTTTCGAAAAAGTGGTTTGAAAGAGTTTGGACCAAGATACAAATCTCTTTTCATAGTTTCATGATCAGTACATGTTATTTCATATCCTTGAGCCTCAGTTTTTTCTATAAAATGAAACTAATAAAACATATGGAGCACAAGTTTGATGTGAAGCTTATAGAAAACAATGAATTTTACTGAGTTATAATGTCATTTGATACACAAGTTGAATATCCCTTATCCAAAATGCTTGGGAAGAGACATGTATCAGATTTTGGAGTTTTTCAGATTTGGGAATGTTGGTATGAAGTTTGAGCATCCTTAATCTGAAATACTTTCAAATCTGAAACTTTTTGAACACTTTAGATTTGTATTTTTGGATTAAAGATGCTCAACCTCCAGTAGGACTAGAAATAGCTTCTTAACAAGGAGTACTTTGTGTGTGTGTGTGTATTGTAGAACTGGGGATCCAACTCTAGGCATTACAAAAGCTAAGCAAGTGCTCTATCTCTGAACTGTCTCTCCAGCCCTGTTTTTAATAGTGATTAAAAATTGATTTCATTTGTTATGTACTTTTTCCCAAGTAAAATGTATTTACAGTTTTTTTAAAAAACCTATTTAATTTTTTAACAAAATATATTAGTTAATAAAACACTACTAGAAATAATGCATTTGTGAGATTGTAAGGCATAAAATACATCATAATTTTGTTAATAAGCTGTTACATCGGTAATATTTGTTCAAGTACATACATAGCACCAGCATTTAAAGTGATTATGTTTTAGTTAGAGAAAAGATTTGTAATTGTTTACTTTATTTTTTAAAAAGGGTTTCTCCAAAGACACTTCTGACATTTTGCACTAATGGGGTGTTGCTTCGTACATTGATGGCAGGTGATAGTACATTGTCAACTGTGACACATGTAATTGTGGTAAGAATATTGCTGAATTTGTCATATGTAGCTCAGATTGTCTAACATTAAATACATAATTACATTTTTAAAAGAGGGCAAAATAAGAGAATTAATTTATTTTTTTGAATAGGCTATTATGATATTCTCACCATTGGGCCTTATGGGAGAAAATAAAACAAAGCAGTAATTTTAAAAATATGCTTTTCATATGTGAAAATGATGCATGTACTTGAGTTCTCCAGAAATAGTTTTTTCTCTATGCTTGGTCACCTGATCCCTTCTCTAATATCATGTTTCCTAGTTGCAAGGATGTACTACTTTATAGTCATTCAACTTCATGGTTAGGGTGCTAAATTAGTTAACTCATGATAAAATGAGAATATGAGTTGCCCTCTTATTAAAGAATTTTAAGCTTTTATCTAGTTTGTATCAGTAAAACATTAGCTTTAGTTTTACAGGCTTTTTTGGTACAGGGGATCGAACTCGGGACCTTGTGCTTGCGAGGCAGGCAGCATATAGACTTTTAGTAAGCAGCTTTTGGAAACTTACCCAAACTAAATGATGCACCTGAGCCCTGATGCCAACAGAAGCACATTTAAATTGATTTTGTTTATATTAAAAAATAAGTATTAATTTGGAATTTTTTATAGTTTATGTAGCTTTATATTTTATGGGATATACTTTGTAAGCTGCAGTAAACTGACGAAATCTGATTGTTTTCAAATTATGCATAATACAAAATTTTTACTGATATTGATTATCTTTGTTCATATTTAATTTGTTTTTTTTGTTTGTTTTTGTTTTTTTGGTACTGGGGATCAAACTCGGGACCTTGCTTTTGCGAGCCAGGTGCCAGAACCACTGAGCTAAATCCTCGGCCCTTTCCATATTTAATTTGAATTAGTGTAAGAAGCAGTGCTATTATTTTAAAGACTGGGCATCCATAATGTTTTCACTGTTTCCTGGTTTTATTTCTGTTTACTGCAGGATGAAGTGCATGAAAGGGATCGATTTAGTGATTTTTTACTTACAAAATTAAGAGATTTGTTGCAAAAGCACCCAACTTTGAAACTGATTCTTTCTAGTGCTGCTTTGGATGTAAATCTCTTTATAAGATATTTTGGAAGTTGTCCAGTGATATATAGTAAGTTAAATTATCACGTTCCATCTGTAATTTGTAAGAAAAACAGTTTGGAGTTTATTTCTAACAAAAATTAGAATGTTCTAAAGTAGAGAAAATCTATTTTATCTTTCTTATGAGATAGGCTTCATGTTATATCTCTCCATTTTGACCTTTACTTTTCTGTCTATAGCTTTTTGGCATTGTGTAGTAAACCCAGCTGTCTCACCTTAAAAGAAATAGGTTTAATTTTCGCCAGATGTTCTCCTTTACATCCTGTCCTGTAGTGTCTTTCCTTTATTCTGGATTCCTTACAGAATGTTTACTTCTCATTTACTTATTTCCTTTTGATACTTAAGAACTTATTTTTGATACTTATACTTTTGATAGTTAAGTACTTATTTTTTTAATGCTCATTTACTTCTTTTGATACTTTTGCTGTTGTTTAATAAAAACCGATTTTGCCCCATCGTTAAAATTTTTTCAAATTTCTCTTTGAAAATTATGAAAGTTGTGTATACAACTGTGTATACAAAAGTTATGTATACAGGGATTTATAGAGAAAAAGTTCATAGTTGTCCCTATCCTGTTTTTGTTCCATGTATATGGATTTTTAAAGCTTTGTGGAAGGCTGGGGATTTAGCTCAGTGGCACTTGTGCCTCCTCACAAGCACAAGGTCCTGAGTTCCATCTCCGGTACTGCAAAAACAAAAACAAACAAAAAGCTTTGTATCTATCCTTTGTTGGTTGGCCATGTCCATATGTATATATACATATATATATATTTTTTTTTTACAAAAATGAGCACATACCTAATATATTATTTGTAATTTGCTTTATTTATTTATTTTTTTGTACCGGGGATCGAACTGGGGACCTTGTGCTTACGAAGCAGGCGGCGGAACCACTGAGCCAAATCCCCGGCACTATTTGCTTTATTTATATAACAGTAAATGATGTACATTTCTCCATTTTGAGTGATCTAGTTTATTATAATCAACTGTTTCAGTATTTTATAATGTGGATGTACTATAACTTATTTAAGTACTCCTTCATTGTTGGGTATCAGACTAGTTCTAGATTCACCCTCCCTGCCAACCTACACTATAAATACTTTTATAAAGAACATCTTTGCATGTGTATCCTGATTTACTTTTAGGGATAAATTTTTTTAAATGAAACTGCTAAGTAAAAAAGCATATCATTTTTATTTTTGATAGCTTTTGCCATTTTACTTTTTCAAAAGGCTGATGTGATTTATAGTTTTAAAAGGCGGGGGGCTGCTCACGTGTGAACTTTTACCAGTGTTGTTTTAACACTGATCTAATTGCCATGCCTGGTGTTCAGATTTTAGGCAAAACATTGTACTTCAATTTTCTGTATTATTTCTCATGGTTACCCTTTCTCTTTTCTCTCTCCCTTTATTTTAGTGCACAAACCTCCTGCTCAGCGCTTTTATTTTTTGACTTACTGCTTAAATATTGACTTTTTCTAGGGTTATTCCCTTGATCCATTTTCTTTTTTCTATTCACTCTCCCTTTCTTTTTATTGCATTTCTGTTCTCTTTCTTCCTTTTTTTTTTTTTGTTGCGCTCTCCTTACTACTGTAGGTGTACATTTAATTTCCCTGAAAGTTCTTATTCATGCCCTTGGTTTCTACTTTCTCTTGTGTACTGATGACTCAGATATATTTTCAACTCACATTGTTTTTCAAAGCTCTGGATTTAGATATCTTTTTAAAAATTTTTTTATTTTTTTGGTACCAGGGATTGAACTTGGGACCTTGCACTTGTGAGGCAGGCAGCGGAACCACTGAGCTGAATCCTCAGCCCAGGATTTAGATATCTTATAAGCAACTCACTTCTAATATCCTTCTAATATCCTCCAAACTGAATACTTAATCTACAAACCCTGCTTGTTTCTTTTCCTGTGTTGCCTGTCTTGGTTAATCATACACTGTTGCCCTTATCATCTAAGTCACAGACTTGTACATTCTTCTCATAATAGTTTTTTTGGTGACTAGACACATAAAATCTGTGCATCTGTTAATGGAAAGGTTGTTTTGCTACTTCATGTTTGATATGTGTTAAATCAAACCTCAAGTTCCAGCCATTCTATTTCTCCTTTCAACTTTCGTTGTTATTGTAGAGTAACATCCTTCTGGCTGTGCAAGACAGACATCCACGAATTATGTTTTACACTTCCTCCATTATCATCCTCCACATCCATTGTAATACTGAGTTCTGTGTGTTTTACCTCCTGTCTCAAGAATCTATAGACTTCTTTTCCATTTTCACTATCACCAGTCTTACTAAAATTTTTGTCATTTATTATCTGCATTTTACCATAGTGCATACCTGGCCTAGTTTTATTTTAATTGCCTCTTTTTTTTTTTGGTACCGGAGATCAAACTCGGGTCCTTGTGCTTGCACAGCAGGCGGCGAAACCACTGAGCTAAATCCCTGGCCCCTTGCTTCTTCTTTTTTTTTAAGGTAGAACAAAAGACAGTTTATTTGGGGAAAAAGATGGAAAAGAAACAAGATAGACAGCTACTATGAGATGGTAGGGGGCTTCATAGCTGAAAGCCCATCTAATTGTCCTTTAATTCTATTTTCACACCACAGCCAGAGTGTTTTCTGAAGTGGAATTCTGATGATGTTGAGCAATCACCTGAGCTTAAATCTTTGAATGACCTTTATTTTACGACAAAATTTTAGACCTTTAGTGAGACACGTATTTCTGCCTAATCTTGAACTACACTCCCTTTTTCACTCTCTTGTTTCCACTGTTTTTTAAGTAGGTTATCCTTTTAGGTTCTTGAAAACATCACACTCCTTGCACCACAGGGACTTTGCTTGTGGTTTTTCTTCATTGCACACCCTTTTCCATAGAACCTAGGCCAGTGGTGGCGAACCTATGGTACATGAGCTGCAGCAGCCATGTGAGCCAAGTGGCCCCAGCAGCTGAGGATCAGATAAAAGTTGTTTTTTCTAAACTAAAACCTCAGTGTCCATGTTTAGTCGAAGTGGTGGCACTTTGGGATAAATAAGTGGGTTTTGGGTGCAGTTTGGGCAGCTGGTCTTTAGAAGGTTCACCATCGCTGGCCCTACTTGTTTATTCCTTTTTCTTTTGCCTTGTTTTCTCCATGAGGATCCTTTCTCAATGCAGTCAAATCTATTATAGAGGGTGATAGTGTCTTATGCTTTTCTCTCTTTTCACAACTCGCTTTTTACATTTATTTTGAATTAATGGATTAATGTCTGTTGTGCTACTGTGGCACAAAGTGGCAAGAAATAGTTCTCTTTTTGCTTGCCTTTTGTATTCCTGGTACTTAATGTTATGCCACACACTACCCTGTGTAGTTAAACAGAAAAACAAACAAATGAACAGCTGTGTAAAGTAAAAGCAGTTGACTGTTGTAGACAGATGTCTGTAAATCAAAATTATATTTAAAGGCCAATATTGAGAGAGTCACTTGAACTTTCAGATTAAATATTACTATACCTTGATTCATTAACTTGATATCCTCATGTTTTTATGTGAATTATTTCTAAGATGCATATTGACTTGAAAATTTCTGTTATTTAGTACAGGGAAGACCATTTGAAGTAAAGGAAATGTTTCTGGAAGATATTTTAAGAAGTACTGGATATACAAACAAAGAAATGTTAAAGTATAAAAAAGAAAAACAGCGAGGTAAGTTTTTTTGTTTTGTTTTGTTTTTTTGGTACTGGGGATCGAACTTGGGTCCTTGTGCTTGTGAGGCAGGCAGCAGAACCACTGAGCTAAATCCCCGGCCCCTCCGCGAGTTAAGTTTTTAATCAAAGATATGAAAAGAAATAACTTTTAAAAACGACATTTGGGCTGGGGATTTAGCTCAGTGGCACCCCGTCTGCCTTGCCAACCGCAAGGTCCTGAGTTCAATCACTGGTACCGGAAAAACAACAACAATAACAATAACAACAGGGCCAGGGATTTAGCTCAGTGGTTTCACCGCCTGCTGCGCAAGCTCAAGGACCGGAGTTCGATCCCTGGAACAAAAAAAAAAAAACACCAATAACAACAATAATGACTTTCTGTAAGTACTGTAGCTTTATATTATGGAGGTGCAAGGACACTTAAAAGTATTTTTCTCTTGCATGTAATTGTATAAAATTATGTTAGAATATTGTCCCACACATATCTTTGCATTCTGGTTTATATTCCAGAGTTGTAATCTGTGGAGTAGAATTGAAAGTGACTACTAGAATTGATGGGTTTGAGTGTGTCTGTGTCTGAAGTTTCAACTTAGGGAAACAGAAGAGTGTATGTTGGCTGCCCATAGCATATGTCATAGATGGGAGTAGCAAGTGGAAGAGAGGGAATGAAAAGAATAGCATCTGAGCTATCTTATCTTATCTTTCATAAAAATCTCCAAGTTTCCAAATCTTGATATTATGGGATTGCATCTGTACTTTGAATTTAACATTATTTGCCCTGTTATAAAAATTTATACCATATCACAGCTTTTGAATTAAGATTTAGATTCCTTTTTCTTACTTTTAGCTATATTATTCATCATGGCAGACCTGCCCTCAAGCTTTGACTTCTTTGTTTATTCTTTATGACCTTGGACAAATTTCTTAACTCCTCAGGATTCTCCACTTGAATAATGTAATTAGTAATGCCTATTTCATTAGGCAGTGCTAAATCACTTATATGTAACCTGTGAAACTCCTAGGTCTTGAAGCTTTTGAGACTTTTAAATTATATCCTCTTGTATCTCAAACAGTGGACAGAGTGATAGAAGTTTACTAAATGATTTTCTACAACGTGCTGTATAGATGTTAGAGATTGAAATAGTCTAATATGGGTAAAAATACTCTTAATTCTGGACTTACTTAACCATAAACTTCTTACCCCAATAGATGAATAGATGTTTTTAAGCAGTTTCATGTGTCCTTATAGTTAGCCATACTACGTTTTATTAAATATTCTTTTTTTTATTTTTGGTATTGGGAATCGAACTTGGGACATTGAGCTTGCGAGGCAGGCAGTAGAACCACTGAGCTAAATCCTCGCCCCATTAAATATTCTTAATATTTTAAAAAGTAACTGCAAAATACAGCCAATTTTTATGTGAAACCAGTTTCACTTAATTCTTTTGAATAAAGAAATACATTTTTTAAAGGAAATTATCTACTATTTTTCTTTGGTAATTTAGAAGAAAAACAACAAACCACGCTTACAGAATGGTACTCAGCTCAAGAGAATACTTTTAAACCTGAATCTCAGCGACAGAGAACAGTTCCAAATGTGACTGAAGAGTATGATTTATTAGATGATGGAGGTGATGCTGTCTTTAGTCAGCTGGTAAGACTTTATAGGTTTCACAGTGATATTTTGAATAAAAATGATATGGGTTAAATAACATTTGGAACCAGTTTTTCTTTTCTTCCTTTTCCTTTTTTTTGCATGCTGGAGATCAGACGCAGAGCCTTGCACATGCTAAAATATAAACACTGTACTACTGAACTGTATCACTAGCCCTGAACTTTCTTTTTTGAAAAATAATTTTACTGTTTTTAATATGAGAAGTTACATAATGCAGACATACTTAACAGTTTTTTAGTATTCATAGGATTTTAACTTATCCAAATTTTAATGAATCCACCATATGAACGCTACATGAATTTTTAAAAATACTTTTAAAGAAATATTTTTAATATAGAGAAGATCTGTTTTAGTCAGTGAACAGCATTTTAATCATGTAAATTAGTGATTGTTAAGCTTTGGCTGCACATTATCATCCAAGGGGCTTTTAAAACCCTGTGGAGGGCCGGGGATTTAGCTCAGTGGTTCAGTTGCCCGCCTTGTAAGCGCAAGGTCCTGAGTTTGATCCCTGGTACCAAAAAAAAAAAACCCTGTGGAATCAGGCTACCTGTCAGCAGGGATTCTGACGTATTTGCTCTGGAGTGGGGCTTGGTATAAGGTTAAAAGAACTTCCAGTGATGCTTTTCTGGTGTGTAGCTGGAAAAGGGAACCACTGGTATGTAGATGTATTTAGTAATAATCCTTTCTATCAGAAACACAGTGTTGTGACTAGATCATAGTCATTTGTTGACAAGATCATTCTTAGGTAAAAGATAAATATGAGAAAGATATATTACTGTGAGTAATGTTTTTGAGATGAAATGAGAAACTTTTGGTATCATATAATGTATTAATATGTTATATGGTTAGTACTTTTTGTGGCCACTATGGCCATTTTTACTTTCTTTGCAAGCAAAAGTTAAGCTATTCAATAATTTATAATTTGTACTTTTTTTTTTAAAGTCAGAAAAAGATGTGAATTGCCTTGAGCCATGGCTGATAAAGGAAATGGATACTTGTCTTTCTGACATATGGCTACATAAAGATGTTGATGCCTTTGCTCAAGTCTTCCACCTTATTTTAACTGAAAATGTTAGTGGTATGTTTTGAATTTTTAAATTACTCTTACAGTTATTTGTAATAGAAGTGTAGTTGAATTCAAAGTATATGAATTACATTTTTTGTTCACAACCAATAATTTATTGTTTTGGAGTACTTATTTTAATTCAGATTTACAAATGTTATGGGTTTGTATGTAGATGTCCCCCCAAAGCCTCATACATTCATAGGTGGAGCTTTTCAGAGGTGGCTGGGACTGAGGGTGTGTGATAACTAAATGGGTTTAGCATAGTTCTGTGTGTGGATAATGGAAACCCTATGCTGGGTGTGGGTGGCACCAATCAGTAAGTTTATAGCCTGGATGGAATATAAAGGGAGGGAGGGAAGGCTTGGTGCTGCTGCTTTCTGCCTGCCATGCTATGAATGGTTCTCTGTGATGACCCTTTGCCATAACCCTGCCTTGGAGCCAGCTGACTATGGACTGAAACCTCCACATGCTGTGAGCTGGAATAAACCTTTCCTCCTTCAACTTGTGGGTGTTGGGTATTGTGTTTTGTCCCAGCAACAAAAAAGTAACTAAGACAGCAAATGAGGATCTTTTTAGCATGCCATAGTACAGTCATTAGGTATTTCATTAATTCAGGGATTCTTGACCTACTGTCTCCAGAATAGTTTCATGAGGTGTGTATATACATGGCAAGTATTTACAAAGATGTTTTTATATATGTATGTTGTGCACATACGTATAATTTCATCTCCTCACCTTATCCACTGGGAAATAATCTTTTTTTTTTGTACTGGGGATTGGTGGCGGCACCACTGAGCTAAATCCCTTGCCCAGGAAAATAATTTTTATGGCCTCAAAGAGATTTGTCCTTTCAACAAAAAGAAGAAAAAAATGGATAATCATTTTTGCTTTAGGTTATTAATTTAGTAAATGAAAACATTTAGTATACTTTTAGTTATATGGAATCAAGTTCTGATTCACATGAACCTACTTTATGTCATGTCATATTTTCACTAATCAGTTATCCTCCTTTTAGTAGTTGATTATGATGGATATGGGTAACCAGAGGCAAATTTCAGTACTCTGTAGACTTTGAAGCAAAAGGCCAAATGAGTAAGTCCTAGAAAATCTGTACTGGAACCGATGTAGAAGTCAAGTAATTTATCCCTTCACCTAAAACCCTTAAGCATTATTGTCATAATAATTGTTATTGGTCTTCCTTTTTGAAACATTTTCTTTAATCAATTTCTCATTTTCATACTTGGCTTCTTTTTTGTTTCTCTGGCTGTAATTTCTTGGTTTGCTCGGTAAGATTTGTCTCTCTTTTTTCTGATCTCCAAATATGAAATGTCCCAGGCCTCAATTCTTAGACCTTATTTCTATTTGCATTTATTAACTGCATGGATCTCATTTAACCATGGCTTTAAATATTTTCAATGATCCCTCATTTTTTCATCTCTAGTCTAAACTTCCTCAGTGACTTTAGTACAGTGGCTCACTTGGCAGCTCCACTTAGATATCTGTTAGGTGAGTAAAATTCTCTGTGAATCCTATGGGCTTTACTCTTTATAATAAATCCTGAATGTGACCACATACCACATTTCTCTCCTGGAGTAATGCTGATAACTACTTCTGTTCTTAAGTTACTGCAGTCTGTGCTCCATAAAACAATCAGATTGATCATTTCAAAAATGCCACTGGCCTGCTTTCAACTCCTTCATACTTCTGATTACATTGTGAATAAAAATCAAAAGTCCTTTCCATGATGGGTCTTTTGGCTGTCTTTTTTATCTCACTTTGTATTTAGAACAGGTGTTTTCTTGCCTTTTTTTCATATATGTTGAAATTCCCATCTTTTGGCCTTTGTTTTGTTGTTTTGTTATGCCTGGAATGCTCTCCCTATACACATTCAGACATATGGCTCAATGCTTCCTTCATTTTAGTCACTGCTTACATATTGCCTTCTCAAAGAAGCCTTTTCTAATCACTAGAATTGTACCCCTTTCTCCTTGCCTTGCTTTGCTCTTTATTGTGCTTTCCTTGGCATCATATGTTTTTAATTTTTACTCTCTGTCTCATCCACTAGCATGTAAATTACATGAGGGCAGAAACCTTGTCTGTTTTACTCAAATTGGGATCCCCAGAGGTTCATAGTAAATTCTCAAAAATATTATTCAATAACAGTTTTACTTTTAAACATCTTTACTAAGTGAAGTCCATTTGAACATGTTTAGTGACAGGAAATTCACTAACTTTGTTGAAGATTTTTAAATTTTGATTGTTTAAATTGCTAATTTATTAATATGTTGAAATAAAATCTACATATATAGCTTTTACCTTTTTCTACTTCAGATGTGATAATGAAGAAATTTAATATGTATTTATACTTGACAAACTTTCAGGTATATGAAGATAGTTATTTTTTTTTTGTACCGGAGATTGAACTCGAGTCCTTGCGCTTGCGCAGCAGGTGACGAAACCACTGAGCTAAATCCCTGGCCAAGATAGTTACTCTTTTATTTTTGTTTTTTGAGGTATTTTTATTACTTTAACTTAATTAACATATAGTAGATAGTCTTCTCCTGCCCTGTTCTGTCTTCCTTTGGTTATGTTTTGGTTTATTCCTTTAAAAAGCATGATATCCAGTTCTGAGTTTCATGTTTTAGGATAGAATGGGTCTACTACCTTACAAATATTGTTCATTCCTTGCATAAATTCAGTCTGTGGTCAGTATAACTCTTTGTCAACACATTATCTCACTAATTCTGATTGCCTTGAAAATCCTAGTTCTGCCAGGCATAGTGGCATAAACCTGTAATCCCAGCACTCGGGAGGCTTGAGACATGAGGATAACCATGAGTGTGAGGCCACTTAGTTCAAGGCCAACCTGAACTACATAGAGAGACCTTATCTCAAAAAAAAATCCTAGTTCTTTTTTTAATTATATGATTTTAATTAATTTACCTGTTGTGTACTTGTTTTGAATTATTTTGAATTTAAGACATTCTCCCCCCCTCCCTTTTTTTGTGGTACTGGGGATTGAATCCAAGGCCTTTGCACTGATCTACATCCCAAACCCTTTTCTAAAAAGAAATTCAAAATTTTGAAATGTTTCATGAAATTGCTAAGTTACCCAGGCTGGGCTTGTACTTGTGATCCTCTTGCCTCAACCTTCCAGAGTGCTAGGGTTACACACATGTGCTACCACACCTAACCCAGTTTTTTCTTTTTAAATTTCATTTTATAGTTTGATTTGACCCATTGTTTCTTTTTTTTCTTTTTTTTTATGGTACCAGAGATTGAACTTGGGTCCTTGCACTTGCAAGGCAGGCGGCAGAACCACTGAGCTAAATCCCTGGACCCCATTGTTTCTTTTTAAAAGCTCTTTTTTAAAGAAAGTTCCAATTGTTTTCAATATTAACAAATATTTTAAATTTATACATCAATTAATCAATTGAATTATTTTTGAATCTGTATTTTGATAAATTTTTTTTGTATTTGGAAATGTAGCTGTTTATCTTATTTCCTGGCATTCTTCATTTTTCCATTTAACAAAATTTACTCTAATGTATTTAGTAATTCATTACTAAAGTCCATGATAGAAAAAAAAAATACCAAACAAACCAAAAAACAAAATAAAACAAAAAACACCAGGCATGGTAGCACATGCCTATAATTCCAGCACTCGGCAGGCTGAGGCAGGAGGATCACTTTGAGTTCCAGGCCAGCCTGTACTACATAGTGAGACCCTGTCTCAAAAAAAAAAAAAAAAGTCCATGACATATTTTATTGCTTTAAGATATTAAGACATTTAAAATATCTAAATATTATCTTTGGTTCTCTTTCAACATATTACACAATAGATTACTTAATAATGGTCATCCTAGGACTTGGATTTCTCCTCTTATAGTTTATACATTTCCTTAAATCCAGTGCTCTAATGTCTTCAGTCACCTGAAGTAATACAAAAATGTTATTGTAGCTCTATGGTTTATTTACGTCTCATCTTTTTGTCTTCTAAAATCTCAACTCTTTTTATTTTTTTTTTTGGTACTGGGGATCAAACTCAGGTCCTTGCGGTTGTGGGTCAGGTGGTAGAACCACTGAGCTAAATCTCTGGCCCTAAAACCTCAACTCTTAATACCCTGGCAAGTTGGAAATACTTTGTAATCTAAGAAACTGTGGGCTTATAGATTTCTTTTTTGGTGCCATCCTTTTTCCCATGTGATCCTGTAGAAGCAGCTAATAATTAGTAAGACTAGACATACTCTGTTACTGCCTAACAAATGATTCCAAAACTTAGCAGCCTAAAACATTATCTCAGAGAGTTATTCTGGGAGTTAAGAATGAGAAGTGATTTAGGTGGTTAAACTGGCTTCCATTCTGTCCGAGGACCACTTAATACATCCCTAGGGGCTGTAATCTGAAGGTTTGTTGTGGGTGGATGATCTACTTTCAAGAAGGTTCACTGGAACTACTAGTGGCAAGAGGCTTTAGTTTGTTGCAGGCTGTTGCCAAAAGGCCCTGGTTCCTGCTGTCTTGAGTCTTTCTATAGGGCTGTCTTATTACACTATGGTATGACAACTGGTTTCTCTGAGAGTAATAGCACAGTGGTTATCTGTGCTTTCAAAAATAAAAAGCAAAGTACTGTAAAAAGTAAAAATACATGTCATTATATATTTGTCCAAACTCATAAACTGTATAACACCAAAAGTGAATCCTAATGAAAACTGTAATTTGAAGTGATTATGTGTCATTATAGGTTCATCAGTTGTAACAAATGTACCACTCTTTTGGTTAATGAGGGAAGCCATACATTGTAGGGACAGGGTATATGGAATATGTCTTTATGTTCTTCTCAATTTTGTATTGAATACAAAACTGCTGTAAAATAGTAAAGTCCTAAAAAACAGAAGCCTGAGGTAATTCTCTTGTAAGTTTCCTCCTCACTTTGAAACCACTGATTGATAGTGATAGTGGATACATGTTTTAGAATGTTATTAAATAATGAGGGTAATTGGGTGTACTGTATGTGGAAAATTAAATGTTTTTCTTTATAATAATCTTAAATTTTACACTGAGGTTTTTTTCCCAGTGATGAATTCTTTTTAAAATTACCAATTTTTTTTTCTTTTTTTTTTGGTACTGGGCATCGAACTTGGGACCTTGTGCCTGCAAGGCAGGTGATGGAAGCACTGACCTAAATCCCCAGCCCTAAAATTACCAATTTTGTAATTAAAGCAAATTCATACTAAGCAGTTACATATTAATTACTTGAGAAATATATTTTAGGAAGGAACTTTAATAGAATTTATTATTATGTAAAAATTAGAATTTGTTTCCTGCTTATAAAAGCAGGCCTTTTATAAGAAGTAAACTTTGTACTAGTGTTTTTCCTTGCTGTGATTTGAAAATAGTTTGTCCCCACCAAAACTCACATTGAGATTTGCTCCAAACTTGTTTTTGTTGAGAGATGCAGCGACCTGTGTGGTGTGGTTGAACCCGTAAGAGGAGTACTCCTTTTCCAGAAGGGTGTGAGTTGCTCTCATGCTATTAGATTGGTGTCTGTTAGAGTGTATTGTTGTAAAGGGAGAGTAGTCCGCTTGGCTGCCCCTTTTGCATGTACCCACCTACCCTTCTTTGGTGTGAGTTGGGCAGCATCAGGCATCTGTAGGAGCTGAGCATGTGCTTCTGCCATGCTTTTGGACCTCCAGAACTGTGAACTACGCAAACAGCTTTCCTGTATAAATCTCCCGGTCTCAGGTTCTCATACCCAGTGTAAAGGAAAAGAAAACAGACTAAGACATACACATTAAGCATTTTGGAAAATAGTAGAATGGAATAATGTGAGATTAAAAGCAAAAGAAAACAGAAATTTGTTGTGAATTCATTACTGATTACTGGTGAAAATGAACTTTTTAATATCTTGTTACTTGGTAATGAAGGCAGCATCTAGAGTTAAGGGGATTATGTAAGGTTCCAAAACTTGGTAGCCTTTCTATTTTAATTACATAGGTGAGTTTTAAACAGTTTTAACAGCTGTCTTTCTTTTTCCTGCCTTTCACCTTACAGTGTCTGTTCCATCCTGTTTATACAAAGACATATCAGTAAACCATTTCCTTGGATAATCTGATTTAAGGGCTAGATAATGTTCTTATGTGAAGTGAAGGAGCAAGTCCCAGGTTAAAAGGACAGCCAGTTCTGCCATTTAAATTTTATTAAAAAATTAAAATAATTTTAAATAACTTGGAAGTTGAACACTTGTATTTTTTCTTCTTGTAGTTGATTACAGACATAGTGAAACCAGTGCCACAGCACTGATGGTTGCTGCAGGACGAGGCTTTGCAAGCCAAGTGGAGCAGTTAATCAGCATGGGTGCCAACGTCCATAGCAAAGCATCAAACGGCTGGTAATGCTGGACTGCATCCATTTCTGTCTATCTTTACATATCTTTTTAGAATTCTTACATTTGCCTTTATTTTAAAAGCCATTATGTAATAGTTGCGGGTGGATCTCTACTTTAATGGTAAATAATTTTGAGTGGCAGTTTTATAATTTTGAGAGCAAATTATTTCTGTCTTAGTCTGTTATCTTTGAATTTTGGCAGGATGGCCTTAGATTGGGCTAAACACTTTGGGCAGACTGAAGTTGTGGATCTCCTAGAATCTTACAGGTAATTCTTTAGTGTTTTAAGTTAATATTATTTTCTTTTTTAAAAAAAGGCTAGCAATATAAATCATAGAATATGTAAAAGTAGGCTATTTTTAGTTTTTTATCCAGAGATTTTTTGGGGGGTGGATATCAGGAATTAAACTCAGGGCTTTGCGCTTATCAGAGGCAGAGAGACTACTTTTTGTAATTAGAAGAAATTTTTCTTTCTGATTTTTTTCGATTAAGATCTGTTGTGTTTTAAGGGCTTACTCTTTATTTTGAAAAATCAGAAGAGGGATTTGTAGTTAAACATGGTAGATACAGCGTGTGTACTTATCTCTGTATTTCCCCAAAACCTCACTAAAACGATAAAGGAATATGAAAGGTATAAACTGACACAGTCAAAGACATTAAGAGGGCACAGTAACAGACAGAAGATGTGAATGCATTCTTGGATGATAGGTAGCTAGTTGATAAGTGGTAATTGACTTAGGAGAACAAAGAAACTCAGTGCTAGTAAGAAACAAACTCACATTAGCTTTAGAACTCTTGAGATTCTCATTCAGTTGCCTTTAAATGAAGCAATGAAAGAAGGGCTAAAAAACAAAAGCAAAAAACCAGAAAACCATTGTGACATGCATGTAGAGCTTCACATCGCCTTCTTCCCTGCCATTAGATGATATCCCTTTCCCACCTTGATAGGAAATAAGAAATTTATTTTAAAAATTGAGCCACAGAGACTTTTGATTTAGGATTATTTAAAAAATTAGATATAGAGGATTTGAACTTGGGTTTACTAGCTATAGTGGGAAAGTAGGGGTGAGGTTATCAAATAACAAAGTGCTTTGAGTGAAAGTCCATAAACTGAAAGTTGAAATGCCATCCACTTCTTTATCATGTTATCTGCTGTTACCTTTTCCTTTTTAAAGTTTATGTTCTTTGTCAGAAAACTTGATATTTCTTTCCTGGAAAAATAGACCAAATTCTAGAGAAAATGTTTGGACTTCTAGGAGGTTGGTATTCCTTCAGTGGAATGACCTTTAAGCCAGATCACTTAACAGTCCCCATGAGTGTACTCAGTTTTTTGCTACTTTCCTCTTTAAAAGCAAAGAACTGCCAAGGGTAAATACTTGAAGAAAAACTGCACCCACAAGTGAAATAAGTAAAACAGAGCAGCAACAGAAAACTCTGGAACTTGGATAAAACTAAGCATCAGTGAGTAGAAGAAACTTGTCCTATAAAAAAGAAACAGGCCATAAATCTTCATTCAGATTTCAGCTTCATGAGCCCTACTCAGTTTACCTGCATTGTCCTTAACCTGTTCTATATTTACTTTTTCTTTTGCCTGTAGAACATGCTACTCTCTATGCACTACATACTTTGCTGGTTTATTGTTTTTGTTTGTTTATTTTCTCTCTTTTCTCCAACAGTGTTTAGTATACTTGTGTCTTTTGTTCAAGAACAGTGCCTGGTTTAATAGATGATCAGTGAATATTTATTGCATGACTAAATAAAAAATATGATAGCATAAAATTTCAGAATGTTTCTTAAAGTTGAAAAATTGTTTACAAAGTAGGGAAAATAGACAAGAGATGGAAAATTGTAGAAAAAAGATAAAGCTTACTTCCTATGTACCTTTTATAAGGAAACTTTTATTTTATTTTATTTTATTTATTTATTTTTTGGTACTGGGGATTGAACTCAGGACCTTGTGCTTGCAAGGCAGGCGCCAGAACCATTGAGCTAAATCCCTGGTCTCAGGAAACTTTTATTTTTTTTAAAAAAATTATTTTATTTTTTCTGGTACCAGGGATCGAACTCAGGACCTTGTGCTTGTGAGGCAGGTGTGGTGCCACTGAGCTAAATCCCTGGCAGGAAACTTTTAGAGAATGTGTTTCACAAAAAATAGATCAAACAAACAGGAAACCCCAGAGAAACATTGTATATCCAGACAAGGATTAGGTCAGGGAATGCTCTGGTTACTGGTACAGAAGGAGGATTGTGATGACAGCTGTCTAGCAGACCCACCCAGTCCCCGTAAATACGATGGAGGGCTTCAGGAGAGAAGTCTTTGAGAGAAAAACTATTACCTGAAAATTTTAAGTATATTAAAAAGCTTTACAAGCCTGTTGGAACATTTCAAAAGAATTAGTGATAAATTCACAGAAAACCAAGCAAATAAAGATTAAACAGTAATTATCCCAGGAAAATAAAAAAGTACAGAAAAAAGGAAATATGATCATAGTTCCCAGTTTGTCTCAGTGGTACATAGTGTTTACATGATCATAGTAAAGTAAAAGCTGAATGATGATTTAAGAAAAATTATGGGATTTGGAGTGGGTGGGATGTTTACGGAAGTAGAATTGGTAACCTTATTTTTCCTTAGTTGGACTAAATTGTTAATAGCAGAAGACGAGTGTTGCTTAGAAATAATAGCAGTTAATTAAAAAATGGCCTAGACAGTTGCAAAAGGTCCTAAGTAGTATGATTGGGTTTTTGTTATAACTTATAAAATTATTTATTAATGTTATAAATATGTATTATGTTAATTTTATTTTTTTATTTTTTAAGATTAGTATATGGTGAGCCGGGAATTTAGCTCAGTGATTCCATTGCCTGCCTCGCAAGTGCAAGGTCCAGAGTTCAGTCCCTGGTACCAAAAAAAAAAAAAAGTTAGGGGAAAAATCAGGGCCAGGGATTTAGCTCAGTGGTTTTGCTGCCTGCTGCAGCTGAGCAAGCGCAAGGACCCGAGTTCGATCCCTGATACCAAAAAGAAAATAAATAATAATAATTTTTAAAAAAGGAGAAATCAGAAGAGTAATATAAGTACTTTAAGTATCTTATGAAACTGATTTAATTATCTTTTTTTTTTAAGTAGTGCTAGGGATTGAACCCAGGACCTTGTTTATGTATATTTGGTAAGCCCTCTATCACTAAGCTGCATTAAGCTTATCCTTTGCCCTAATTATCTTTTACTGGACATTTTAGATAAATTTAGATTAGTTATATAGATTTTTAAAATATGTAAAAGAAACTTTAATATATTTTATAATACATTGATAGCTTCTATTTGTTGTCAGCCTATGAGAGTCCCCCCCAAAATGGATTTTGAAGTTAAAATATAGAAAATCATCAAGAACATATGAAATGTTTTATTTGACCTAATTTTTTGTGCTGCTATAGATGTAATCTTGGACACTGTAAGAAGTAAATGTTTGAAGTATGAAATTATTTTTGTAATTTTGATTTCATTGATACTTAGGTTAAAGAGTCTCAAAATTCTTAGTACATCCAAATGCTAATCTCATTTTTGTTGTCATTTTAGTAATAGTACACAGAATTTGTAGTCTTTTAGTGATAACACTTTAAATGTTCCAGTCATTATTTTGGTATTGATAAGTATAGATACTACAGATTACCAAGTAAAACAGTTATCTGGATAATATTTTTAAGTATCTTGGCCAGCTGGGTTTTTTATTCCAAATTTCAAATATTTTAATTTTATTTATTTCAATTTGTGAGTACTGGAGATTGCACTGAGCTACATCCCTAGCCCTTTATTTCATTTTTTATCTTGAGACAGGGTCTTGCTAAGTTGCTGAGTGGCCCAGACTGGAATTGAACTTGTACTCTTCCTGCTGCAGCCTCCCAGAGTGCTGGAATTATAGATATGCATCACCATGCTCAGCAAATTTCAAATATTTAAAATTAAATTTATTATTATGTTTGAGGGATTGATAGTGATAACTCAGTTTTATAGCTTTTTCTTCACTTGTTAAAAAGTAAGAAACAATAAACTTAGAATATTTTACAACAGATCTTGATATTTAAAATACTGCATAGATACATAATCTTAATATTTTGCCTATTGAAAATAGTCTTGTTATTTTTCTGCTCAGCTCTTTGAGAGAAATTGGGCTGAACTGAACTTCCTGGAAATCCTATTGATAATTATTAATGATAGCAGTAGTTTATGTTTTTATATACAGAATGAAGAAAAGTGGTAGTTTATGCTGATTCTGCACTTTTGGGAAATATCGCAGTTAACCTGCTTTTATAAATAATCTGTACAGCTTTTAAAAAATTGTGGATCACTCATCAAAATATTGTTTATAATAGTGAACAATTAGAAACAGTCTATTAAGAAAATATAAATGAAGCTTGGTAGCGCATGCCTGTGATCCCAGCACTCGGGAGGCTGAGGCAGGAGGATTGCCTCAGGTTTGAGGTCAGCCTGGGCTACATGGTGGTTCAAGGACAGCCTGAACTACATAGTAAGACCCTGTTTCATAAAACAAAAAACCAAAACCAAAACAAACAAAAAAATGTATATGATGACAAAATGTTTTTAATATTTTATTGAGGTAATTCCTATATCATATAATTCACTCATTTAAGTGTACAGTTGATTGATTTTTTTTTTGTATATTCAGAGACTTACACACTTGTTACCACAATCAGTTTTAGAACATTTTTATCACCACAGAAGGAAACTTGTACCCACTAGCGGTCATACCCTCTTTTCCCTCAACCCTCCTAGTACTAGGTCAATTACTAATCTACTTCCTGTTTCTAGAGGCTGTCTATTCTTGGTGTTTCATATAAATGGAATCATATAATGTGTGGTACTTTATAACTGGCTTCTTTCACTTGGTATAATGTTTTTAAAGTATACTCATGTTGCATAGATTTTTCTTATGACTGAATAATAATCCATTCTATGGATATAGGATAGTTTATCCATTTGTCAATTGATGAATGTTCATGTTGTTTCCACATTTTTGCTATTATGAAGGATTCTGGTATGAACATTTGTATATAGTTTTTTTCTTAGTTGACATATATGTAAATATATTTTCTCTGTTTCTCTTGTGTATATACCTTGGAGCAACTTTACTGGGGCATATGGTAACTCTGTGTTTAGGCTTTGAAAAACTGCCTCAGTGTTTTCCAAAATGGCTGCACTGTTCTACATTCCTACAAGGAGTGTAGGAGGGTTCTAATTTCTCCACACCCTCTCCAACATTTGTTACCTGTCTTTTTGATTGTGTCCATCTTACTAGATGAGGATCTCATTGTGGTTTTGATTTGTATTTCCTTGATGACGAATGAAATTGAACATCTGTGTTTCTTTTTGAGAAATGTCTTTAATTTGTGATTTTCTAAAAGCAGTTATTGCCAAATTTTATGTTGAATAAGGTGCTTAAAACTAGAGCATGAATTATATTGCAGCTATACCTTGTCACTTCCTTAGAGCATATTGGAAATTTGAAGAAGGACATAATGGGAATCATTGGTCTTTAAAAGTTACTCCTTTTAATGAAAACTGACTTGGTGTTTTTTTTTTAAGTGCTTCATTGGAATTTGGAAATCTAGATGAAAGTTCTCTGGTTCAAACAAATGGAAATGACCTGAGTGCAGAAGACAGAGAGCTCCTGAAAGCTTATCATCATAGTTTTGATGATGAAAAAGTAGACTTGGATTTGATCATGCATCTTTTATACAATATCTGCCATAGCTGTGATACTGGTAAATAAATACTGTCTAAAATTACTGCAGCAAAATGTATACCTTTCTTTAAAAATTAATATTTTGATTGTCTACATTTACATGCAATTGCATTGATAGTAATGCATGAATAACTGTCATGGTAATTTACCAGTACTTGAAAACACACAGTATAGTTCCTTATAATTACTTCTTTTGATTGCTTCTCATTTCACAAGATTTGGTATTAAAAAACTTCTTCTCCAAGGTGCAGTATTAATTTTTCTACCTGGATATGATGAAATTGTTGGTCTGAGAGATCGCATCCTGTTTGATGACAAGCGGTTTGCTGACAGTGCACATAGGTAAAATCTGAAGTTTTATATTTGTGGTTAAAATAATAGACAGGTACTACAGTATATTTCTCTTTCAATTGTCAACAGATATCAGGTCTTTATGCTTCATTCAAATATGCAAACGTCTGATCAAAAGAAAGTATTAAAAACCCCACCTGCAGGTGTTCGTAAAATAGTAAGCTTCATAAAGTCTTTTTTCCCCGTTATTATTAGTCATCATTCAGTTTTCATATTACTTATAAAATAATATCCTATTGCAGATTCTTTCCACAAATATTGCTGAAACCAGCATAACAGTCAATGATGTTGTGTTTGTTATTGATTCTGGAAAAGTGAAAGAGGTGAGTATGATAAGTTGTATTCTTATTTAAAAGAAGGCTGAATTCTGTTCTAACTAGTGCTTTTCATAAGACAATTCACTTTAGTGGAAAAATTTATTTCTAGATGTATTTAGCATAGTAAATATTGATTTCACTCAAATATTTTACTTTAAATTCAGTATATAGAATCTATTTTAGTTCAGCAAATTAGAAAAATGATTTCTATCATTAAATACTAGAAAGAAAGAAAAAGCTTGGTTACTTATAGTGAAATTTTCATCACAGTGTGAATTCAATTGAATATTTTCTATATTTTTCTCCTACCTTTGGGAATAGACCATGTCCCTCATGTTCAGTGTTAGATCTTCAGTTCCTAATATAGTAAGTGTAATTCAAGAGAACCTTGATGAAAGGAACAAGAAAACTGCAACCAGTAAACCAACCAAATACCACCACCCCCTCACACCCCCCACCCCCCACCGGCCTTAAACTAGCGGTCAACAAACAATAGCCAGCATTCAAGCTAGACTTGTTACCTGCCTTTGTAAAAAAAGGTTTATCACTCTTTTTACCCACTGTGTATAGCTGCTTTCACACTATAATGGCATCTGAGTAATTCCAGCACAGGCCTTCTCAAAGCCTAAAATATTTACCACTTGGCCGTTTGCAAAAACAGTTTTCTAACACCTGATATAAATAAAAAGGAGTATTTGTTTTCTTTCAGTATATAAATCCCTAGCAATTCTTGGTGCTCCTAACTTTTAGTAGAGCCATTCATTGAAAGAATGAAAATGATAGAAATAATTGACTTGTTGAGAATATTATTCATATTGTAGAATGCAAATTATGTTCCTTTAGTGGATATAAATGGTTGTTAATGTGAAGAAATATAATGTTTTTAATGTAGTTTTTAGGAATCTTACAGAGAATAACACATTACAGAATTTGGTCAGATGTATTATAGTTGGATACTATAAAGAACAGATAAAGTTTATTTTTCATGATAGGACAGTAGTAAATATTTTTAATAAAACTGCAGTGAGCCAAGATCAGATTTTGTTGCTCCAGAATTATTCAATGCAGATGGAAGTAGATTCTGAATATTTTAGATATTAATTCCTCTAGGTATTACTTTTTATATAAACCATAGTTTAAACACAGTGATAGTGTCAAGTTGTTTTACACACATGATTGACAAATGAAATATTTTTATTAAAAATTGAGTAACATTTTCTAAAAATTCTGTAATTAAACTATTATGAGAACCTATTATGAGAACCCATTTGCTCTAGGTCGTTATTGTAATTAATAAACTTTGTGGTACCTGGGGCTTGAGTCCTGGGCCTTCTCACAGAGCTACATCTGCTATCTTTTCATCTTTTATTTTAAAATTATTATTGTTGCTATTGTTGTTTGAGACAAGAGTCTTGCTGTGTAGTTCAGGCTGGCCTTGAACTTGTGGTAGTCCTCCTGCCTCAGCCTTCAGAGTGCTGGGATTACAAGTGTGCATTGTCATGCTTGGCTTTTATTTTTTTATTTTGAGACAGGGTCTTACTGAATCACTAAGTTGCCCCAACTGGGTTTGACTTTGTGATTCTGTTGCCTCAGCCTGCCAGAGTACTAGGATTACAGACATGTATCACCACACCCAAACTATGTAGTTATTTTACATAATGGAAAACATGTCTAAATAACGGAGGTATAAATTCTAGTTAGGAATGTATTCTTTTAAAATATTTCTCTGCAGATTTTTACTTTTGTTTCTTTGAGGCAGTATGAGGTTAGTAATGGTTTTCTTACGTATTTTCCTTTGCAACATTCAAAAGAGGCTCTTTTTAAGTATCTCAGCAGGAGGTAAAGTAGGAGTTAAAAATTCTTGGCTATGGGATAAGATTAGTTTAGTGATTGTTATTCTTCTGGATGAGATCCCTGGAAAGTATTTCAGAAAATGTGCTTCCCTGATCACTCTGTCTTTGTAACAATGAAAATGTGATAGAAAATGACCTCCAGAGAATAGATCAGTTTTCCCAGTCTTGATTTCTCCTGAGAGCTGACTGCCATGAATAGCAGATAGCTCAGCAAAGCATAGAAGAGGAAATTTTATGGCTCCCCTGAGTTTAATTTTGGTTCTTTTTTCCTTAGTGTTTTTAACCAGAGTATCTGGATTTTTCAGAATTAATACTCTTCCAATTATTTAATCAAGATGGGACTTTAAATTGGGTGTGTTAAAATATGTTGATAATGTTTCCAGTTATTTTCTCTTAAGTACCTTTTATATTTTAACATAAAGATGATTTAAATATTGCAGAAATCCTTTGATGCACTGAACTTTGTTACAATGTTAAAAATGGTATGGATTTCTAAAGCTAGTGCCAAACAACGAAAAGGCAGGTAATGTATATTTAATGTACATTCATTCAGTTGCTTGTAAAATGGAAACTTTCATATATATTACATATTTGTCATATATTCTACCTTCTGTAACATGTTAGTTTTCATGTTAACATTAACTTTTATAATATAAAATGTGAAGTGAACCATTTTAACACTTTTTTAAAAGCTGAATTTAGATTATATAAAAATTTAAGACATTGTGGTATAATGCACACTAAGATGCAAGAAGCGTAATAAACAAAAGTAAAAATTCTATAAATATTTGCAATATAGGACAAAGGACTAATGTCCTTATATAAAAAAAGTTCTTTAAAAAAATAAAAATCAAGGGCCGGGGATTTAGCTCAGTGGTTCTGGTGCCTGTCTCGTAAGCACAAGGACCGGTGTTCGATCCCTGGTACCAAAAAAAAAAAAAATCAGTAATCTAATTAAAATGGATACAGAGCAAAACTGTTGGTTTACCAAAATAAAGAATATACATTCCCTGTTAATACATTACCTCATATACACCAAAATAAGTGCAAATTAATGGAGTACTATTATTTATCGGATTCAATGAAATGAAAATGTTTTATGGTATGCAAAATGTAATGGGAAAAATATGAGCCAGGAAACTTTCTTTTTATACTGATGGAAGTGTAGATTGTTATGACTTCTTCAGAGGGTAAATTGAAACTATCCAAATACTGCCTTTGATCATGGATTTTACATCTCATAATTTATCCTGATTATACTTGTACATGTGTGTAAAACTATGTTGAAGAGTGTACTTGCAGTGTTGTTTATAATAATATAAAGTTGGTGTTGTTTTCAGATAGGGAAAATGGAAAGTAAGGTTTATTTAGGATGAAAAGTTAACTTTTGGTTGTGTTGAATTTGAGTTACTGTGGAAAATCCAAGTGGAGTTGTCCAAGAGACTTGTGAGGTATAGGTCTATAATTAGAATGAGAAAATCTAGGATGGATGACAGTTGAAGCTAGGAGCATAATTAAGATCACCTCAGGAGAGACAGAAGAGCAGAGAGTTCATCCTCTGAGAAACATTAACTTTTATAGTCTGGGAAAAGACCTTAGTGGAAGCTGGGTATGTAGGAAACCTAATGGGTATATTGTAGGGAGTATTTGATGAAGAAAGGCATGGTCCACCAATGTCAGAAGGGGATATTTCTGTATCTCTATGATTTAACATATTTAGTCCTGTCATTAGCTGACATAGTGACTGGATGTGTTTAAAAGAGCCTGCTTTTCTTCATGATATTTCTCTGATGTTTCATAGAGTGTTACACAGGTCTCTATCATTATGAGATAAATGTTAGTGACATGAAGATGTATAATGAATAATTTATGCAACTCTAATCAGTGGTTGTTAATAGCTTAAACAAAATGCTTGTTAATAGCTTGGCAAAATTGATTGAATTTAAATTACCCAACATTTATTCATGCTTTGTTCTTTACTTGCTTTCAAATGTATATTTCTTTTGATTTTTACCATAACCCTGGCAGCTATATCAGGTAGGTGTCATTTATGAATCTCAGTAAGTGAAGTGAGTTCCAGACAATTGAAGTATCTCCTGAAAGGATTCATGGAGAATTAAGAAAGAACTCACGCTCAGATGTTTTGATCTTAGTTCATTCTTCTGTCTTCCAGATCACATTGCTTTTACAGTTTACTATAGCGTTTGTTCCTTGTTTGAGTATTAATTTTGTATTTTGTTTTTAAGAGCGGGGCGATGTAGACCTGGAGTTTGTTTCCGTCTGTTTAGTAGAATCCGATTTCAGAATATGTTGGAATTTCAGACTCCAGAACTTTTGAGAATGCCATTACAGGTAGAAATTTAAAATACCTTTTAGTGGGTAAGGAGAAGGGCCATTTTAATTTCTACTAATTGGACTTGGAAAACAATACATTTATAAAACAGTTGTGTATAATGGATGGTGGATACTGCATACCTATAACAGGATTTTTTTCTGTATAAAATAAGACTTCAAAATTTTAAAGAATTCATTGAATTACGGGGCAGTTTATAAGAATATTGTTTTTATGTACTATTTTATGTACTATTTTGAGTTTCAGCTACATAGCATTCATCCTAAAAATTGTCAATAGAATTAGAAAATAAATTATTTAAGGTCTAAAAGATAATACTGAAATCTCAGTGAGAGATGCTGAGATTATCTTGATAACTTTGGAACTGGATTTAGTAATATTACCTGGCTTTTATTCATTGTTTTTCCTTAGGTTTTATAACTTCATGAAACAATCATACACACTGTGTAGTTTCTAGGGAAAACTACCAGAAGTGTCTAAATCTGACTCTTTAGTGTATTAGTTTAGATGCTGGCTTTTTTTTTTTTTTGTACTGGGGATCAAACTCGGGACCTTGGGCTTGCGAGGCAGGCGGTAGAACCACTGAGCTAAATCCCTAGCCAAGATGCTGGCTTTTAAACCATTAAAGAGATGCAGGATCATGTTTTTGGCATCCATATACCTCAAGTGATTTCTCACCTCCTCATGCCTATGGCTTCCTTCTGGTGTTGGACATATATTTTCCAGTGTTGCAAATAGCACAAAAGAAATCAGACTTTTGAAAAATTTTTCCGCAAGGCCAACTTTACCTCTGCAAAATGTTGCACTGCCAAACAAAAGGGTTGGCCAGCTGTTTATCCCTAACATGTGATGTCGTCACTGTGCCTGCTCTGTTGGTGGGAGCATGGTCTTACAATCTAACCTGATTGGCTGGTTTGATGAAGTCATGGTTGCTAGACCTGAACAGATCCTGTGACATGGGAATCTCTATTACACACAGTATTTATGGCAGGTGAACTGGCGTGTGGCCCCTTGTCTTAACTTGTCTGTCTGAGGAATGGTGAAGCAAGCACATGTACATTTTACAATAGGATTTTACAGAAAAATAGAAATTTGTATAAAATGGAGTTATCTTAAATATCCCGTTTGACAGAAAAGACCTTTGTCACACTGGAATAAAACCTAAAATTCTTAGCAAGCATCTGAATTATCTGTTCTTGTCTGTCTCTCCAGTTTTATTTCTTGCCTTTCCTCTACAAAGATTTTAGTTTCTCAAGAACATCTTATTTTCTTGTACCTTAGGGTCTTAGTGTGTTGTCCCCTCCCTAAATTCCTCTTGCTTACTCCTTCTATGATAAATTCTTACTCAGTCATTATGTATTAAGTGTCATTTCCTCTGGGAAACGATCTTTGGTGTCACATGGCCTCCCTCTTCTGCCCTTTCCTGAAATTCTTTTACCGCTTTGGCTCTTGTGTCCTTTATAACGTTTAGGAGAATTGTAATTAGGTAGTTAATTAAATATTTAGCTTAAAGATCTCTTCCACAATACATTATAAACTCCATGAGAGCAGACTCTTGCTTGTTCTCTGCTTTTTCTCCAATTTGCTGCATAGCACCTTGCACCTAGACAGTGCCTAAATATTTGTTGAACGGATAAAAATATTCTAAAATAAGTATATAGAGGAAAAGATAATCTTTTTGCATAGTTATTCTGAGTGTTAACTGTATATATATACGTAAGAACTCTGTGAGGAGATGTTGCCAGAGGTGACATTGATAATTCTGGTCTGAGTTGATTGAGGATATTTATTAAGGTTCTGGCACCCTATAGCACCCTATACAAGCCCAAGTTTGGTAGAAAGACATTGTTCCTTCTACTATTCATTCTAGTCTGAGACCTTACTAGACTGTATTTGGGAACTGTAATGCCCATGATTTCTTTAAGGATAAAACATTAATGTTCTTTTTAATTTTTCAAAAATTATTTACTGTTTTGACTTATAGGAACTTTGTTTACATACCAAGCTGTTAGCTCCAATTAGTTGTACCATAGCTGATTTCCTTATGAGAGCTCCTGAACCTCCACCAGCTTTAATTGTAAGAAATGCTGTACAGATGCTTAAGGTTGGTAAGAGATTTATTTTACTTGATTTTCTTACTTGAAATTTAAACCAAATAAGAATATATCTTAACTAGTTTTCTGCTGTTGAAAAATAATCTTAGATCATATATTTTGAATAATACTCTTGTAAATAATAATAGGTAAAACAGTAGTCTGTATATATATTTGAAGAAAAGCCTGTTTTTATGAGATATGGTAATAAGAAAATTTTGTTTGTTTGGTTAAGATAAGGTCTTGCTTTGTAGTGCAGGCTGGCCTGGGACTCACTATGTAGCCCAGCCTGGCCTCGAACTCTTGGTGATCCTTCTGCCTCTGCGTTCTAAGTACTGGGCTTACAGGCATGTGCCACCACACCTGGCTGAAATTTGTATTTTTTTCTTCTGGATTTTTAAAGTTAAACACAGTTTTTGGTCATGTCTAATTCTGTTCTCTGTCCTTTGATTTAGTCAATAGATGCAATGGATGCATGGGAAGATCTCACTGAGCTTGGATATCATTTGGCTGACCTGCCAGTAGAACCACATCTTGGTAAAATGGTGCTATGTGCTGTTGTTTTAAAGTGTCTGGATCCCATCCTTACGATTGCCTGCACACTAGCTTATCGAGACCCTTTTGTACTGCCTACTCAGGCCTCTCAAAAACGTGCTGCTATGCTTTGTAGGAAACGTTTCACTGCAGGAACGTTCAGTGACCATATGGCACTTCTCAGAGCATTCCAGGTACTATTACTGTCATTTGTTTCTGGAGATGTGTTAAACAGGTTTCTGGAGCAAGTATAACAGTTTAAAATAAACAATAAGCAAAAATAAAAATTCTATTAATTTTGTTTTATTTGTGAAGTTACATTTTATTAACAGTCCAGAAAAATATTTTCTTGCTGTTAATGTTACAATTATCAGTTTTTCTTTACTTTGTTTTTCCCCTCGCTTTATATACATTTAGCTTAGAAACAAATTGTATTAAATTTAATATCCACTTACTGGATTTTTTAAAAAGTACATCTTTTAGGGCCAGGGATTTAGCTCAGTGGTTTCGCCGCCTGCTGCCTGCTGCACAAGCGCAAGGACCGGAGTTCAATCCCTGGTACCAAAAAAAAGTACATCTTTTTCTTGAGTGTTCAAGACACTACGTTAAGACCATAATTTTATAAAGCAAAAATTATTTAAAACTTTTTGAGATAATAGAAATTGAGGAAAGAAAATATAAGGGAAGTGAGCCTCTGAGAAAGAGAAATAAAATATAATTTAGAAATTCAGATATATGGAGAAGATGTTGTTTTTGAAAACATAAACATCTTTGTATCCTTATATTCTCTTGAATGTAAACTATTTTTAAAAAATTTTGCTTTGTTTATGCAGAAAATATAAATTTTAGACATACAGGATTTTTCAAGCACATACATAAATTTAAAAAATCGTGAACTCTTCTAAAAGTACTATAAATGGGTGACTCATTGTTATTAGTTGAGTGTATTATATGCCATATATATATATATATAAACCAGTTGAATGATAGAGGAAAATTTGAAGCAAAATTTCTGTTTTTTGTTTATTTTTCCTTCCTCCTCCTACAAAAGCAGACAGGAAAATCATTGCTTTGGTCTTTCAGTTATATTCTAAAAGGAGAGAACTCATTTTCAAAGAGTAGCTTTTTAATATTATATGTAGATTATTTCTAGAAATCCCACTTTCCATTCTCAGTTTAAGGGGTTGATGTGCAGGTTAATTTTGGAGAACCACGGAGTGGCAAGATTCTTATATACAAAAGTGTTAGTGCTTAGTTGAAAATCTTTCACACTTTTGTAAAATAAAATTAACAAATGCATCTATGAAGGTAAATATTCTTATAGTATTGGTCATTTAAGTTACTTGATCCTTAGTTCTCGTTGACATTTTATAAACTCATTGGCTATCAAAGCAATTGGAGTAAATTTAACTAATGATGCATTTTATTTGATCGTAGTCTTATATTTTATAGAATAATTAAAATAAGAATTGACCTGAATTGATTAATATAGTGGTTTTCAGTTACTTTGTTGCCTCATCAAGAAGTGATTGGTGGGGCCAGGGATTTAGCTCAGTGGTTCCATTGCCTGCCTTGCAAGCTTAAGGACACTAGTTCGATCCCCTGTACCCACCCCCCCAAAAGAAAGAAGTGATTGGTAAATATGTCTTGTTTGTAATTCTGTTTTTATAGGCATGGCAGAAAGCACGAAGTGATGGGTGGGAGCGGGCCTTTTGTGAAAAGAATTTTCTTTCACAAGCCACCATGGAAATAATTATAGGCATGAGAACACAGTTGCTTGGTCAGCTTAGAGCATCAGGTAAAGTCTTCCTTCAAAGAAGCTATTTAAATCCATAATATTTCTAATGTTTATGTCAGCTTCTATTATTTTTATATTACCATGTTGCGTGTCTTATATTCCTGAACTGATTTGTAGGCTTCTACCTATATAAACTTTTACTTGTTGAAAGAAATGATACTGCAGAAGCTGTAGTTGAGAAATATATGAGCAGAAGCTGAACCCTTTTGATACTGTTGGCAATGAAAAATTTATAACATACTTGTTTACAAAGCAGTTTAGATCTTGTAGTTGTTATGTTTTATCACCATTAATAATTATTTTAGCTCTAGAAATTATAAAAATGTAAATAGATTGTTTAAACGCTGTTTTTTATGTTTTTCAAACACTAAAACACTGGTAATCACTTGAAGGCATTTTTTTTGAAAGGGGATTTAGTATTGCTTTTTCCTTTTAAACTTCCTTGAAAATATTTTTGTTTTCCTTCTCCTTTTCCTCCCCCCCTTTGGCTCCCCTTTCCACCTCTTCCCTCTCCTCCCCCTCTGTCTTCCCATTTTTTCCCTTGCCCCTCCCTCCTTCCTTCCCTTCCTCCCTTCCTCTGTTTTTGGAGTATTGTAATACATTGAAGTGATAACTGTGATTGTCGAAAGTACCAGAGTCCAATTCATGGATTATTTAAAGTGCCAAAGTAATATAAGGGAAGAACCAGAGGATTTGGAGTTGTCTCATATATGGGGAAATAAGAAAATTTTTTGAAATTCAAGCAGATATACTGTATTTACTTGACTTCACTTTTAGACTGTCATAACCACGACATTTTTAATTGTAGTTAAAAAAATGATTTGGGTTTCCACTTGTGAACCTAGCATGTTTCTGAAAACTGATTTTAAGAATGTGCATTTAAAAAATGTCTAGGCCCTCAATAAATACTATACTTAATCTCTCCTGGGCAGATCTAAAACTTTTCTTATATTGGTTCTATAGTTTAGACTTTCCAGAACAGATTCTATTAATTGTAGAATTTGGATATCATTAAACTTACATGGGACATACATTTTTTTAATAAAAAATACAAATTTTGTTGTTGTTTTTTGTTTTTTGGTAAGAGGGATCAAACTCAGGACCTTGCACTTGAGAGACAAGCAGTGGCACCACTGATCTGAATCCCCAGCCCCAAAAAACATAACAATTTTAAAGTATCTTTTGTATAATAGAAAAAGTATTTTTTCCTCTCCAAAGTTTTTTGGTGCATGTTTGTTATACAGAATAGTGGGTATTGGCATATTATACATGCATATAACATACTTTGATCTTCCCCGTCCCCCATTGCCCCTCCCCACCCTCCTTTCTTCCCTCCCCCTTATATTCTCTAGGCTTTGTTAGAGCAAGAGGAGGTGGTGACATTCGAGATGTTAACACAAACTCGGAGAACTGGGCTGTTGTTAAAGCTGCATTGGTGGCAGGCATGTATCCCAATTTAGTCCATGTGGACAGAGAAAATGTAGCATTGACTGGGCCAAAGGAGAAAAAAGTACGATTTCATCCCACTTCAGTTCTCAGTCAGCCTCAGTACAAAAAGGTAAAATATTTTTGATATTCTTAGACCTTGAGATAAAACTAATTTAGATAGTTGATCAATGAAAATACTCCAAATATCTACCTGCTTTAAGAAATTATCTATCTATCTATCTATATATATATATACAGAGAGAGAGAGAGATAATTACACATTGGAATATTTTGTTGAATCTTAGAGTGGAAGAGACAACTTTGGAAGAGTAATGAAGACTTTTATACAAACTACATAAGAAATGACTTTAGTTTTTGCTTGGTGCTATCACACACCATCTATTTCCTCCAGGGACTTTTTACATTTTAAATGTATACCCAAAATGTTACATGATAAATACAGTTAACAATTTAAAAATTTATTTTTCTAACAGATTCCTCCAGCCAACGGTCAAGCTGCAGCAATCCAAGCACTGCCCACTGATTGGCTTATTTATGATGAGATGACCAGAGCCTATAGAATAGCTAATATTAGATGTTGTTCAGCAGTGACACCAGTTACTGTTTTGGTGTTCTGTGGGCCAGCCAGGTTGCCAAGTAATGCTCTTCAGGAACCTTCATCCTTTAGAGGTAAATGTATTATAAAGGAAATAAAAATGTTTGAAGTGAAAGATTTTGTTTTACTAAACCTAAGAGATAGTTGTGAAATTTTTGTTGTAGCAGTTTACTTTTGATGTAGTAAGACAGTTAAAAAATATTAATACCACTATTCTTGAAATTAATTTCTAAGGTAGGTTGCCATCAGTTAGTGCATTTCTAATTAATCTTGCTCATAGAAGTTTGTTTTCTACTTAAAGTAAAATGATAATTTAAGTAAAGGTAATTTTTTAATAGAATAAGTCACTAATAGTGCACTTTTAATATTACATTTTTCTGCTTGTTTATATGAATTATTTTTCCCATACTGTTATTTTATATTCTGCTATCTTCATTATAGCAGATTATTTAAAACATTTTTAATATTTCAGTCACTGTACAATATTCTATCACATCAGAGTGATACAATGCATTTAAAATGTTTTTTACACTTGGACATTTGATGGATTTGAATTTTTAGCTATTCAATAAATATTTGTCAGATACTGTGCTAAGCATTGAAAATGTAATAGAAACAACATGCTTCTGTCTCTGGCACTTTATACACTCTTGCTAATAGTAAATAAATAGCTAATCTTCATGGTGTTATCGGGGAAATATGTCTCAAAAAAAGAGATCAGCTCTGTTAACTGTTACTTTGGGGAGACAAGAAAGTCAAACTGAAAATTGTAACTTGTATTTGGCAATATGATAGTCTAATAGTACTATTGTATAAATAGGATTCATAATATACTTATAATATTTTAAATATTTGTTTTAATAGGATTTTTAATACTACTACAATTATATGTTTATTGTTGAAGCTGAACTGTAGGGTTTGAGTAGTATGTGCTTGTATGCATTCAAATATTTGTGGGTTTTTTGGTGTTATAAAGTTTTAGGGTTAGGCTCAGGTTATTAAATACATTGGTCAATATTTGCTTCCTTGAAAGTTTCAGAGACTAGGTATTCTGGATTTGTTGGGCTTTTTTAAGGATATCTTTTTTTTCCCCTTAAATATTGGTTTGAGTTTTTCCATTTCTTTTTCTTTCGATTTTAGTAATTTTTTTAAAGTGCATAATAAATTTGAAGATTTCAAATGTATTCTATAATTGTGCATTACATGTCTTTTAATGTGGCTTAATTTTGTAATGTATTTTAGACATATTTTTATCTCACTTGATTTTGTTGATGGATTTATCTTTGCTTCTTTGTTTACAGAGGATTATTTCTTTAATCTTTTCAAAGAACTAGATTAACTATTATTACCATTTTATCTCACATTTATCAGTATTTTGTTTTCATCTTCTGTTATGCATTGGGTTTTACACTGTTTTTCTAAGACATCTAGTTTTTCAAGTTAAAACCTGTGAATTTATATAAGTGTTGTTTTGAGCATTCTCTATATTTTCTCCTACTTTTCTTTATGTTTTTAATTTCTTTTCCATTCACTTGTTGTGTTTCTATTTTTAATTCTTGTTCTTGTTTGGTTGCATTGTAATTAAGAGATTGTAGTCTTTAAAATGTATTAATTTTCTTCTTTAAATATTGGTAATGATCTACTTTATTTGGAGAACTCACAGAAATGGTTAGTATGTCAGGAGGGTTTGTGTGCTCAAAGAGTGTCTTATTTGCTTACTGTTTTGCTGCAATGTAAGATGGTAAAAGTGATTTATTCTTTCAATATGTGTTGGGACAGCAGATGGCATTCCCAATGACAGTAGTGACAGTGAAATGGAGGACAGAACTACTGCTAATTTGGTGGCTTTGAAGCTTGATGAGTGGCTCAATTTTAAACTAGAACCAGAGGTGAGTTTCTTTTTAATAGGAAATAGAAGGGATGATCAAAAAAATAGGTGAACATTTAAATTAAAAATTTGTTACAGTAAAATACACATTGCCATTAATCCTCCTTGCTCTCAACATACTTATACTATCATTCTTGCTGCTCCCTGAAGCAGCTTTGGAAGTTCTCTTTTGTGAGTGTCTTTATGTAGTATGATCAGAAATACAGTAGATGTTGCTGCCTAGTGCTATCCAATAGAAAGGCAGACTTGTAAAAACATTGCAGTGTGTCCTCATCCACCTTATTCACTGGATCTGCCACTAAGCAACTTCTGGCTCTTCCCCAAAGTCAAAATGATCATGACAGGTCAGTGTTTGGAATCAGTTCAGAACATCGAGGCCCCCCAGGACAGTGTAAAGTCTCATAAAGTTTTTAAAATTCAGTATGATAAAATTTTTATCTTTAGTACTAAGCCTTTAATATTTGATAAATAGAGCTTTTTTCAGTTTTAATAAGATCCTCATGCATGTTCTACTGTATTGGTTTCTTTTTTTTCCAGCAAGAGGTGTAAAAAACCTAGGTGTGGTTCAGTATTTAATGGGTGATTGTAGTTTTAGTCCATTTGTGCTGCTATAGCAGAATGCCACAGACACAGTTCTACAGGCTGAGAATTCCAAGGTCAAGTGCTGGTGAGGACTGCTTCGTGCTGTTAAGATGGCTTCTTGAAAACTGTGTCTTTTATTTTTTTTTTTTTGGTACCGGGGATTGAACTCAGGACCTTCCGCTTGTGAGGCAGGCGGCAGAACCACTGAGCTAAATCCCTGGCCTTTGAACTGTGTCCTCTGCAGGGGACAAATGCTGTGTCCTCACAAGGCAGAAGAAGGATGAACTCCTTCCGTGAAGCCCTTTTGTAAGGGCTTGTAATTCCAGTCATCTCCCCAAGGTTACACCTCCCAATATTGTTCCATGAGGGATTGAGTTCAACATGAATTTTTAGAGTAGACAAAAACATTCCAGTGATAGCAGTAATATATGAGTATTTCTGCATATGTAAAAAATACTGAGTATTGAGTACATGAGAACTTTATTTTGGGTAATTCTGTTTTTGAGAGGAAGATATGAGTTCATTTTTTTTTTTTTGAATTGGAAAGGATAAAGATTTTTTCAAATTAAAAAAATTTCTTGACAGAACCTTCCCTTAATTCCATCTGTGCTTCAAAAAATCATTCTATATCCACGGGCGGAGGTAACAACTAAGGTGTCAGTAGTCAGCATTAGTTAGATTTACTTTTTAAATAATCCATTCATCACTCCAGCTTACTGCAGTCTCTTTTCCATTCCCACCAGCCCTTTATTTCACTAAATTGTCCTGGGTAAAGTCATCTGTGTCCTCCATTCCTCCACTTGTCAAAGCCAGTCTGTTCTTGATTGCCTCTCTAATATTTGACTCTCTCTAATACTTACCTCTTTTTAGTAATTCTGCCCTTCCCCATTTTTCCCCCACATTCCTGCCTCTTCTTTGTTATTAGTTACTGTGCCATTAATGCTTTTAATTCTTCTGTATTCATTCCTTCTTAGGTTATTTCACAAACTCTTTGTGCTTTTAGGTTTTTTTTTGGTACTGGGGATCGAACTCTGGTCCTTGCGCTTGGGCAGCAGGCGGCAAAACCACTGAGCTAAATTCCCGGCCCCTGTGCTTTTAGTTTTAAATTCACTTGTTCTCTGTGTCTTGCTCTCTTCTCTCTCTCTGCACAATTCCTGGAAACCTTATCTCTATTTGTAGCTTTAGTTATGCACTCATGACTTCCAAGTTTTTATCTTTGGCATAGGCCTTTCTGTGAATCCAAATGCCTTCTGTACATCATCATTTGGACGCTTTGCAGATACTACAATTTGAATAAAACTACTAAATGTATTTTTGTTTATTTAGCTTGCTGCTGCTTTTTCAATATTAATCACATTCTACACAGTCAGTGTTGACTGCCTTATGAGATGTTTCTTTGGTTTTGTGTCTCTAGTGCCTGGAATATGATAAATAAGTGCCATTCATGAAATGAATGAAAATAGTAAATTATATTAAATGTGAACTGTGTTTTTTGGAAATAGTTGTAGACCTTAACTGATAAGTAATATTTTACATATCTGATATACTTTACTTAACTTTATCTGTTTGAACAGGCAGCCAGTTTATTGCTGCAACTCAGACAGAAGTGGCATAGCTTATTTTTACGCCGAATGAGAGCTCCATCTAAACCTTGGTCTCAAGTTGATGAAGCTACCATAAGAGCAATTATAGCTGTTTTAAGCACTGAAGAACAGTCTGCAGGTTTACAACAACCATCTGGGATTGGCCAAAGGCCAAGACCTATGTCTTCAGAAGAACTTCCTTTGGCATCATCTTGGAGGGCAAATAATAGCAGGAAAAGTGCAGCAGATTGTGAATTTTCTGATGAGTCTACTACTGCTGAAAGGTAAATTATAAATGGGAGAGTTTTTTTTTCAGGAAAATTATGTGTGCTATTTAATAATTACTTTCTCATAATCTAGGATACATAAAAGGATTACAATAAAATAAGTTTTTTATTTATAAAATATACTTATAAATATTAAGATAATATGGGCCAGGGATTTAGCTCAGAGGTTTCGCTGCCTGCTGCACAAAGCGCAAGGACCCGAGTTCAATCCCCGGTACCAAAAAAAAAGAAAAAAAATAATAATATGGAAGATTTTAAGACACTCGTACATATTGATGAATTAGCCCATTCTTTCTAGGAAAACTGAAAATGTTTCATTTTCAGGACTTAAAATTTAAGCTCTCTTAGCAGATTTTAAAATTATTTATTTTAGTTGGTACATGTCAGGTGACATATTTCCTGGATATGTGCACTGAGCAGTACTGGCTATGGCTGTGTTTAAAGAACAGCTTTCCCACAAACCTTGAGTAGTATTGGTATATAGACTAATATTCCCTCAGAAGTAATCTTTCATTCATTCCTGGCACATCAAATACCTGGTCTTAGTAGGAGAGGTAGAGTAGTGAACAAAACAGTAAGACCTTTTCTTGCACAGAGTTTGCATTTTTGTGAAGGAGGCACAAAATTACTGTCATGTGGCAAAATTCCTATTAGAGTTCAGCAAATTTTTTTTTCTAGTATTTTGCAGTTAAATGTATTGTCATATGATTAAGAGAGTTCTTACCTGAATTATTTATGTAAACAATGTATTTTAGTATTAGTGCTTATAATGAATTGTTGACCATGAGCCAAAAATATTTCTGGTTATGAAAGCATTTTAAATTATTTTGTGTCAGTTAAAAGCTTTATAAGCCACATTGGAATTCATAGCAAAGTTAATATTCTTACCTGTGAGACTAGTTTGGAGAATATTAGTAAAAGTCTCTGTAATAAGAATATGATTTCAACCTGGCATTACAGCAGTCTGGGTGGCTGAGGTAGAAGGATTGTAAGTTTGAGCCCTGCCTGGGCAACTTACCAAGACCTTGTCTCAAAATAAACAAATAAATGGGCTAGAGATGTGGCTCCGTGGGAAGGCCCTAGTTCAACCTTTAGTACTGCTAAAATGAAGGATTCCATAGTTGAAAAACTGAAAATTAATGTAAGTATAAGTGATGCTTATTTTTTTAAGGAAAAGATAGTGTTTTTAGAACCTTCTTTTGATCAGATTTTACATATTAAGTGAAGCAAAAGCCTTTGTAGGTTTGTCATTTGATTTCAATGAAAGAGAAATAAAAAATACTAGTTTCCAAGTTCTTAAGGGAAAAATTTAGCTACTTTCCAAGAAAAGGTTATAATGTATGTACCTGGATGTTTCTGTTTCATTTTCAGCCTTTTAGATAGATACACATGGAGTTCTTGATGGGGAATAGAATGAGAACTCTTAGGAAGAAGTATATATTTATGTATGTGTCTCTAAGCCTTTTTTCTTTTAAATAACATAACATTGCACATATTTACGGGGTAGAGTGTGATGTTTCAGTACATTTGTATGGTGTGTAATCATCAAGTTAGCATCTCCATCTCCTTATTTCTTTATGTTTGGAGCCGCTGAGTGCTTCTTTGCTAAATCTTCATAAAATATATAATAGCTTTTTATA